TTATCCGACGACTCATTGACGTATATTTATTACGCATGAAACTTCTTCATAGTATGCTAAACTTTATAGCATGCAGCTGAAATACGTTCCTCATTGGGAGAGTGTGTTCTACAAAATTCATATATATATATATATTTTTTTTTTTTTTTCAATTCAGAAAAGACCTCCGGTTAAGCCTGCAGCTGCCGTATGCTTTTGCAGTTGATTTGAGACTGACGTATCTGCCTTTCTCAGTAGCACAATTGCCTGGCAAATCTGACAACTTTTACTGTAGTATGGACGACTTCATCTGCGTTGAGCGACCTCCTCATCGGTTCTGTTTCCTTCTCGCTTTTGATTAAGAATGAATAAAATTTCTTCACTACTTTATCCAAGGTTTCTGGAAAATTTCAATCCAAGATTCTTCAACTATTTTTACGTCATTGGAAACACTGAAATATATTTAAAATCTTCCAGACAGCAGATTATTTTATCTGAGAAAATTATTAATATGTCAAAACGACCATGTCATATAATAAGCCTTGAATATTTGATAACCCCTTCGTTCCTCAACTGAATTATGTTAGTTTTGTTTAGAGGCAAAATCCAGTTTACAAACGTGAGTGGAAGTCAATTAAAATGGCAAGAAAGTGACTGCGCGCATTGTGAAAAGAACTATTGCTTTAAGTAGAACATGCTTATAATGAAAAGATTATTTAGCTTCGAGTGTAAAGTTATGACAAAGCCAGCTTTCAGAAGCAAAAATTGTTACCCAAACTTTAGAATGTAATCTCTAAATCATTGGCAAGTCAGCTTTAGACTCGTGTTTTAAAGCTCTTGAATTTTCAGAACAATAAATTAAAAGAGGAGAAATAAATGAAGAAAATAAGGAACCAAAATAAGGTAAATTCGAATTCGAATAGTCGGAATGTACAATCACAAAGTTATCTTATTCTATAACGAAATTTTTGTACAGCAGTATAATCAACAGGATCCGACAATCGACAGGATTAATGAAATCATAGATATTAGCTTGATTTCACCCAGCTCTATTCTTACACAGTAAATAAATTTCTGATCATTAAATTGAAAAAAAATCGAAAGAAAATAGGGAAAAACCGTTTTGGTTTGGACAAAGATACTCTGCATATATAATAAGTTATCTCAAAACAAATCATATCTACATTTTTAGTAACACCTTCAAATGATTTATATGGATTCAAATGATTTTTTTATTTTGCGAACATAAAAAAGATAAACTAACTAAACTATCATTCAGAAGCAATGTAATATTATTACTTGCGCGCGGGTTCATAATGAACTGAATGCACACAGAACAGATGATTGCTTCATAAAATTTATTTCCCCAAAAGTTCGGAACTTTTCCCAGAAGTACTCTACAGTTCTTCTCAGAATGACAGAGTACAATCAGAAGTTACCACTTCAAACTGTAGAGTTCCTCACTTTGGAATTCTAAGTTAATGTTGGAAGTGAAGAATCTAAGAACTGATAAGCGAATAATCGCTTGCGTTCGGTGACAAGAAACAACAAGATAGAAGGGTAACTAACCCTTTATTATTCCAATAAGATTTAACAAAACTCCGCCTGGGAGTGTACAAGTAAAGCCCGCACTTGGACTTGAAATTAAAAGACTAAGAATTAAACTAAAACTAAGATTAACTAAAAGAAGTATAGCCGAAGCTATCAAGGTTCAAATTAAGCTGGCCCCTTAACTTATTTGACTACGAAGCTTAGCAAGGGCCTGAATACGGCCGGGCGTAATAACAGCTTTGAGAGAGAGAGTGGCCAAAAAGACAGAACGCGCGTAAATCAGAAACTCTGATTCTCTGTGACTCAGTAAGTAACTTCGTGGTTTAAATACCGCTCCTCCTCATTTAATATTCAGCAAGATTTCAAAACTACTTTCTGGCCGGAAGTAGTAAGTTGAAGTTAAGAATTTGACAGGAAAGGAACTTTAAATTAAAATTTAACTGTTAATAAAATTAACATAATCCTTACAAAACTACTAATAACGTTGCTTTCAAGACAGTATAAAAAACCTCAAATGCGAAGCTTGTACGGTTGTCTCTCAGTATTTTCAATACTCGGAGCTAAACTCTGCACTCAGTTCTGAACTAAGTTGACCATAATTTTGAAAAAAAGCCTGCAACCAGTTGGTTTCTTCCTGAATTTGAGAGAGCTCTAGACCGTTGGCTTCATAAATGCATAAGCGCAAAACTCCGCGGTAATCGGCGAAAAAATAAAACTCTATGTCAAATTTCTGTGGCTACCATAGCATTTAACTCTTCGATTCCATCGTAGAAGTAGAAACTTGTCCGACCCGGTGATACAGGTCCGACAGGCGGAAAGGAAATTTACTATAATGTGGTGCTAACTGGTGGCTGTAGAAAACACGAAATGGAGAGATGCAAAATCCTTGAAGTCTTTAATACATACAGCAAAGGGTTTGGTCTGTTTTTATGTGATTACGACAAAGTCTCGAGGGCTATCTGCCTAAGGGTTTGGTTTGGTTTACTTAATTATGGCAAAGCACACTAGGGCTATCTGCCTAACGGGAGGGATGTCTTTGTGGAGGACTTTCTAAGGGGAAATTGGCTCGTATCCACATTACACATGGGGAAAACCACGAAAACGCCCATGCAGCCAGCCCGTTCGCGGGATTCGAACCTCGGACTGAAACTACCAATGTTCAGCGACTTTACCGCTTGGCCGCTGGTGGGCCCACCTGCCTAAGGGAAGCGATGTCTTCATAGAGGACTTTTAAAGAGAAACTGGCTCGGAAAACCATGAAAACGCTCACGCAGCCAGCCCATTCTCGGGATTCGAACGTCGGACCGAAAAACCAGTGTTTAGGGACTTTATCTCTCGGCAGCTGGTGGGCCATAGCAAACGGGAATGAAATAAGAATATAAATGAAATGCAATACAATTTAGGGTTTAATCCTAGTAGACGGTACACGGGATTTGGAGACATTATGATGAGCAGTAAACGCGTCATTTTGGTGTTTGCGTCAATTTTTAAAATCGCGCCAAGGCCGTACATACTAGCATTTTTACTCAGTTTAGATAAAAAAAAGGATATGAAATACGCACAAATATATACAGTTTTAGTCATAATGCAGATTAATATGCAGCATTGTGATGAATTATTCGTGGTCGTTTAAAGGTCTTTTCAATAGTAGGATCGTAGTCAGCTAACTGAGAAATATGGGCATAATTAGAGTTCACAATTTTCCTGAAGAAGAATATAATCTTGAACTGATGCTCTTTCCTGTCTACATAGTCTTCCTCCAACTGCCGAGAAATTTCCGGTATCTTCGTTTGCTCGAAATTGCTGGAAGGTATATACGGTTACAGTTACATAGATTTCGGATCAATTACAATTATACAGGATCAAAATTTCGGCAGGTTAGGCGACTTTGACAATTTCTCGCCAAATTTGGCTACAAAATTAGTCTCCCAAACCATTGGAGAGGCTTTATCTAAATTATGCTGGAAGGCAAAGGTGGTAGTTTTATGATCAGTGAAAATGGTAAATGATCGTCCGTCCAGAATGTGTGTGTTTATAATGCTTTATGGCTAGGTTGATTTCAAGTATTTCTCGATCAAATACTGTAATTTCTCTACTTTGATGATAGGGATCGAGGGAAAAAAAACTTAGCGGTTATTTTTCACCATTCTATTAGTTGATGGATTACAGCACTTATCACGGAATCGGATGCATCTGTTATTAAAATGATCTGTGCAGTCTGATTAGGTTGAGCTAAACATTGCTGAGTTGCACAATCTCTTGGTGGTAATAAAAGCATTCTGTGCATCTCCCGTCCAAATTAAAGGTGTTTTTGTTGCTTTTCTTTACTCCTTTAAGCAAGATTGTTAACGTTGTCAATCAATTGCATCAACTTTCGATGGAAACGCTTTAATTCCTCCCACTGATATTTCATACTGAAATTTCAACTTTGCTCAGACCAAGTTTAGATTTGCAATAATTATGCTCCGTCCATAGTTGTTGAGGCTTCTGAAAAATAATTTGAAAGATGTTTTTCGCGTGTTTTTGGGTCTGGAGAAGCAATGAGAATGTCATCGAGGTAGCAGGGGACAATGTCTAGACCGCTCAGTACTTTGGAAGGTTTGTGCAGTGTCGCGTAGACCAAATGTCATATAAGGAAATTCAAAAAGTCCGAAACGTGTTATGATGGCGATTTTCAGCTTTGTGAAGAGAGATTTGTTGGTAAACCCTCTTCCAATGTATGGTTAAAAAAATCGTTTTTCTATGCAGAGTATATATGTATAGTTTGTTAAGAGACCTTCTTGAAGCATATTATGGAATTTAATGGGTTTTCCTTTGGTTTCGATAAAATGTTGCACATCATTTTCTTTAATTTTATAATTTTTTATGTTGGTTTTAAATCAGTTAGAAAATTTATTTAAAATGGCTCTATATTGTTTTTGGAAAGTGTTTGCAATGAATTTAGGAGTGACCCCATTGTTACATAAAGCACCTTCAGTAGTCAATGAGGTGGTACCGTCAATTAATTTCCTATTTTTGCTGTTGACTAATTAGTCAAAATGTGAAATAAAGTCTATTCCAGCGATAGGTGTATTGACATCTGCAATTATAAAAGGCCAGTTGAAAGATTTGCGTAACCCTAAATTCAGTTCCAACAATTTTTAATCACACGTTTTTATTGTTGTACCATTAGATCCAAACATCTCAAGCTTAGACATAGTTCTTTTTTTGCGATGGCCATGATGAGATAATCAATATTGTAACCAACCATGTATTCGTTTGAGTAAGATAGAGAGTAACCATACCTTATCAGAAGTCGAGTAAAAAGATGTTTCTACATCTTGACACTCGAGAATAAAATACGATCTGTGTGTGTGTGTAACCCTGCTACAGCTAAGTGTGTAATGCTTGAACTAGTTGATAAGCCACTAGTTGATGATCTTTGCATATTTAAGTGACAAAAGCTCACTTCCGTTGGCAACGGGTTTACACTTTCTAGTTCCGGTTTATCGAAATGTGTTAAACTTAACGCAAGATTTTTTAATATACTTAACGAGCTTTTCTATTTTTTTTTTTTTTTTGTGTATAAAGTAAAAGAGAATGGCTGCTACTATTAATGTAACTTCTCGCAATTTGACAGAGGTGTTTATTTTAATGCGAAATAATTCGCTTCAAAACAAGAACATTTTCTGTGATCAGGTGAATTGATTGATGATAGATTGATTGATGTAAAATTTTCTCTAATACGCATATATTACTTGTGGATAACTCGATTCAGTATTTAAAGTATTGATATATGTTTATCAGATTATTCTGTAATGTATCAGATTATGCTGTCTCGTTTGAATTTTTGTGTAGTTTTTGTAAAGTGTACTGTAAATGCGAGTAATTTCCCTTAAAAAGGCTTCCATGTTGGGATCTCTTCCCTTAAGCAGATGCTTTTTAATGCTGTACCATATTTGGCTAAACGAAAGTCCAAACATGGTTGTTTTAATTTCATGCTTCATCTTTCGGATAAGTTGCAGAATTTTCTTTCTCTACGAGAATGATTGATGTGTAACCTTGAGTTTAATGAATGTTCATAGCATCATAATAATTGTTCATAGCATATCATAATCATAATAATGTGATGATTTTAAATAATTTTCTTGCTTTACTGATTTATGTAAGCTGTTGTTTTTTTACATATATCAGTAAAACATGTTAGTAAAATTAATGTTAAACTATGTTTTGAGTGATAGATGGTATATTGAGAATATGGCAAAGCACACTAGGGCTATCTGCCTAAAGGAAAGGATGCCTTCGTGAAGGACTTTCTAAGGGAAACTGGCTCGTATACACGTTACACATGGGGAAAACCACGAAAATGCCCATGCAGCCAGCCCGTTCGCGGGATTCGAACATTGGACTGAACTACCAGTGTTCAGCGATTTTACCGCTCGGCCGCTGATGGGCGCTTTTGAGTGATAGAAATTATGTATGTTGTATTTTGTTATGTTTCTGCGACACTTTCAAATATATGAACCTATAGTTTCAAATACATCAGAAATTTGAATATGGCCTTTTAAAAAGATTTTTTTTTTCGGTTTCAAAGCTTATGAACCATTTTAAAGATTATGCGTGTATTTGTGTATTCATTTGCAATATATTTTTTTCCCAGTAATGTTTGTCATAGAGCAGTTTTGATTGATTGTTTAAAATTAGGCCATATTAGATTTAGTCGATTTAAATTTATTAATGTTTGTATGATGCATTTCAGATTCTTGATGACAAAGTTGCATTAGTATCTTCCAGAGATTTAGATAGCAGCCAGGGTTTTACAAGATGTGTTGATATTCCACCAGAGTGGTAAGCTTAATTTAAAGATCTATAGGGGTGTAAAATTATCAAAATAAAAATAATTTATTTTGTATGTTTATGTTATTTTTATGTATTGATGGACTTTTAAAATCTATTTAAGAAGTTATATATATATGTAAGATAATACAAATATGAAAAGTGAATGCAAATTATATGCTTCTTTTCTTCTTTGCATTCCTGTAAAATATGAAAGCAAACTACTAACTTTAATTTTGCAATATCTTCTTTATTCCCCATTTTAATTTGGGAACTTCCCCTTTATGTCCTAAAAATAATAACTATTTATAACATATCATTCTAAACTGCATCATACAACCTTACATAACACTTAATACAGGTATTATTTATCCAATTAGGGATCAAGATTTCTTACAAAGAACTGAAACCTGTTCACTCTGCCATGCTTCTTCTGAATGTGAAGGCACTATTTTTCTCTTGATGGCTACTGCAATTTTGAGATGGTGAATGGCTCTTAAAAAAAAAAAAAAAAAAAAAAAAAAAAAAAATCTGAAGGCTTTCCGATTTTACATTACACTCAAAGTGCCATTTTTTTAATGTTTTGCGTGTTACCTTATTTATTAAATATCATGTTCTTTGCACTTAAACTATAAAATTCAATTAAATGGCAATACTGCAAAACAGTTTTAAAATGAGCATGTCTTTCGATTTTCCTATACGATTTTCCTATAAACAGTCTCATGCATGGGAGATAAAAATCCCCCCCCCGCCCCTGCAGTACAGTGTTGCCGTTGCTCGCTTTGAAATCGATGAGTTTGTTAATAAAAAATTTTTTAAAGTGTTACAAAATATGAAATCAATAATAAAACAAATTCCAAATTAAGCCTTCCAGATGTCCATATTCAGTGGAGGATTACATTATTCAAAATTGGATGACTCTAGGTACTGTTATTTTATCACAATGTATGAAACATACATACATTTATGCAGATTCTTTATTATTTAAATGAATACTGAATAAAATTAAAATAAATACTGAATAAATTTAAATAAATAATGAATGATGACATTGCTATTTGCACATATTTACAAATTTTCAAAGTTATTGTTTTCACCTTTATCTTTAGTACAGAAATTTAAACATTTGGCAGAATGCAGTACAAAATCCGAGATCCAGACTCATCAGGACTGTGGATATTAGATCATCAGTTTAAATCTAATTAGATGATATGTCTAAATTATAAAATTGAAAATATGAAATAGAAAGCATTTATTATCTCAAAAGACCTCAAAATTTACCCCCCCCCCAAAAAAAATCATTCAATATTTACTTATTTGTTTGCTTTATTAAACATTTCTTTCAATGTAAGTTTCTTTGTCTTTTTCTTTCTTTCTTTTTTTCTAATTTTTTCTTTAATTCTGTAGACATAATTTCTTGTTCAGTTGCAAATTTCCATTCTTCACATAATTTCATATTCATTTACAAAGTTCCGTTCTTCAAGTAATATAATTGCTGTGTTGAAAATTCCACCAATATTGTGTCAGTCAAAATTTTTTCATACTTAACAATCTTTCTGTCATTTCCTTAACTATCAGTAGCCGTATTTTCTGGATTTAGAACACTACTACAGATTTTGCCATCCGTTACTTGATTGATGATTGGGGCATTTTCCATCTCAACAAAAACTTCTGTTATATCATCTTCATTTATTACCGCTTCTCCCATGGAGGTAGGAAGTAAGAAGGAGTCGCCCTAAACAAGTTTCTCCGTACCCTGCTCTGAAGCACCGGCGATCCCTACGTGGTGACCAAAACATTGGGTCATTTACCATTGAGTTCTATGGGATTTGACGCGTTCGGGTGTAAATATTCGTAATTACGTCGCAAATATACATATAAATGTATATATTTTCTTTTTCTACAACACTTCAGAGTCCTAAGTATGTGAAAACAACATATTTTTAAACAACATTTCATTCTGAACGGAATTAAATGCTATACTTTTCACAGGACAGTTTTCTCAGAATGGTTTAATTTGAATGAATCACAAGTTTTCGTTAATTACGTTAGAAAAAAAAAATTAAGGTAATTCGATTTTATTCGGTTAAGGCACAAAAATTAAGATCAAAGTTTATTGTATTATTAATATTAAAATTATGCATTATTTCTTTTCTATTTATAGAGCTTCTTCCTAAAATACTTTCTTAAATATGACATGATTTTTTTGGCTTCTTTTAAATCGAAAAATGTAAGTCAATTTATAATTAATGCTCTATTCGGTTCATTTTAAAATTAGAGAATTATTAGAAATTAAATAGTATTTGACTTTCTCTGAACATTTCTGAAAGGGAATAAAATAAGTTTTTTTTTTTTTTAAAGTATTATTTAAAACTTGTAACTGAGTTATTATAAAATGTAAAGTGAATAATTCTTTTAATTATACTTATCAGATTTTTTTTTTTTACCCTTCATTTCAACAATACATATTCCAAAACTCTTTATTACATTCTTAAGTGCGCATCTCATAGCATTTGCTTTACAATACCTTTTAACAGATTGCTTTCCAATACGAACAATTCTTGCTGAAATAGTTTTATAACGTATTTGTCAACAGGATTTCAATTTATGTTTACAATTCAATATTAAGGTTATTATATATTTAGATAACATTTATAATCATTATAAATTAGATACATTTAATCATTAGATTTCTTCACAGTACTTTCACAGTTGTTTATAAGTGAATAAATTCTTCATTTCAAATACATTTATAAATAATTTAATGAATATTTAAGTATTTTGTCAAAGGCAGATACATGCTTTTTGCAAGCACATGCATAAATACCCATACATATTTCCTATTTATCATTTCCGGCATGCGCAAATCTTTAATTTCTGTGCATTCACTATATTTTTCGTCTAAAGGAATTTACACTAATTTAGCATACACCCGAAAGTTTTACATAAAAATATATATGAATATAATTTGAATGAAAATTATAAGTATTATTTTTAATACCCCACTCAAAGGTCAGTTTTTCTTCAAAATTCCTCCACAATGGCATCTCTCTCTTTAGGCAGATAGCCCTTGCATGCGTTACTCTCTATTTAATAAAATCTTAATCTGACCTATGTGCCTAATTACAAATATTTTAACATACATAATTTTATATTTACATTTAGCCATCAAGTTTCAAACTTTTTTAAATCTTCTAGAAAATAAATTTTGGCAGATCTCTTTTAGCAATTTTCTTAAAATCTATATTTTTGTAGTGCAACAGCTTAGAATTTTATAAAACAAATTCATAATCAAAATCGCTGTTGTTAGTTATCGAAAAATAACCAAGATGTGATTTTTGCGTAAATGTCAGTAAACTATACAAATTGCTATTATCCATTACGCTATGAATGTTTCTTTCATGCGAGAGTGTCCCTTTTTCGATTTCTATGGAACTGTCGTGTGTCGAAATACTATCAGAATCTTGTCAAGCGAGCTTCTGAATGTAAACAAACAACACCCCGTCTGGTGACCCAAGCTTCAAAGCAGTGCTTCACTTCTAGCGCGGAATGGCCTCTCCTCCCTTTCTTACCTCCATGGCTTCTCCACAGTTCTTCAGAAATTCTATTAATTGGAAAATTTTGCTTTTGGTTTGCGATATCTGAAAACCTTCATATATATGAAGCTATCCATCGGAATAAGCATCCTCTATATGTTATTAGTGATGGGTTATCAGACTGGTATGGTAACTAAAGACATGTTGTGCTGTTAAATTTAATCTTGCTTTTTTCTCATGCTGACAGAATTAAACCTGGATTATATTTGTTATTTATTGTACTCAAGCCTATTTCCTGCTCATGTTGAGGCTTATTAGAGTTCCAAATAAATAAATTCCCACATATACTTAAGGATTATCTGAATCCTAAATTCTGCTGATAAATGCCTCTATAAATTACAAAAATATTGCTTTGCCTAAATTCTTCTGCCAGGTGTGGCTGCATCAACTCTAGGACTGCTCTTGTGCTTATCTGAATAACAAATCAATTATTTTCAATCCAAATAGCAAAAAATTTAATCTTTTGGCCTATAAGTATCATTTATAAAATATATTTTTTGCATATGGAAAAAAGATTTCTGTTAAATTTCTCCTTGTCAACACACTCAACACTTCGCAACACAATTAGCTGAAGTTTGTAATCATCGTCAAACATAATGTTGACATAAAAGCTTTCCGTGTTTTTTAGTATTCAGTTAAAAAATGTTTAGACAAAAAAAAAAAAAAAAAAAAAAAAAAAAAAAAAATGTTTAGACATCTGTGTGAATCATTTCTCAAGCTGCCATGTGTTGATAGTCATCCAATTGTGAAAGAAGAAATATTAAATAATGATGCACCAGGTTTGCATCAGGAATAAAAGTTATTCAGTAGGTCTAAAACCAATGATATTTCCATGTAGAGTGTGCCAAGCAAAGAAGGCGGTTGGTTGCAGAGCCACATTATTGATTATGTGAATTTATGTTAATAAATGAATGTTTTTTCAACGTGGAGTAATTTATTTATTGCCAAAGTGAAATTAAGAATTAGGACCCTCCATATGTTTTATTATGGAAAAATGTTAAATGTTCAAGCTTAAAGCATACACACACAAAATAAAAACAAATAAATAAAAAAAGTTGCTGATGGTCAGGATATCCGGCATCCAGATCATTCCGGGTACTGGACGTTTAGATTGTAGACTTACTTTGTTATGTTTTGGGCTGCAACTAATCAGTGAAAGTTTCTGCCATTCTTTTCACGAGGAAGTAAAGATATAAAGCATTTATGGGCCTTAGTGCAAGTTTTGTTTTAAAAATGTAATACAGTCAAAAGTCATTAATCCGGACTCGTCGGGATTTCGGCGATTCCGGATTATCGATTTTTTCGGATTATAGATCATCAGTTTAAGTCTGGTAAGATGGCATGCAGAAATTATAAAATTAAAAATGTGAAACTGTAATTTATGAAATAAAGAACAATTATGATCTAAAGGGTATCAAAATTTACAAAAAAAAAAAAAAAGCTTAATATTTATTTGTTTACTTTATTAAACATTTCTTTCAATGTAAGTTGTTTAAGTTGCTTCGTTTTATGTGATAATACTTTCTTTTTAATTCTATAAACAGACATAATCTCTTGTTCAGTTACAAAGTTCCGCTGTTCAAGTCCTATAATTGCTGTGTCGAGAATACCGACTAATTTGTCAATCGAAATTTTTTTGTTTTCGATAACCTCTGTGTCACTTCCTTCACTATCGGAAGCGAATTATAATGACGAGGAATTTGATTTAAATCATATCAAAGACGGAGTACATCTAGATGAAATACTACATTTAGTAAGGAATTATAAGCCAAATAAAATAAAAACATCTGCCTTGAAGTTAAGGATAGTGCTGACAGATCAACTACCAATTCATTGCGCGCCGCAGCGTCCCCCCCCCCACCGCCGCAGAGCAGCTTGAAATTGATAAACAGATTTCGGAATGTGTAGAGACCATTTTTTGCAGCAATTTCACTTTTTGTTTGATGGACATCGAAACATACTTTTGCTTTGTAGATCCTTTGGCAGCTTCAGTATCAGAAATTCTATTTGACATAATCGAAAGTTCAAGCTTACTTTTATAAAATTGCTCTAACAGTCTGCAAAAAATAATAAGCCGAATCCAATTCGAAGATTAAGGAACAACGCAATCTGCAACATTAACTGAAATAGATAATTAGATAATTTTAGCTTATACCATCCGTTATACATTAAACACGCATGCATAAACGTATTATGCGCAAGCGCACACACATATGCGCAGCCGTAAAGGTCTTACGAGCATGCGTCAACACGATGCATGCGCAGAAAGTTTGTAGGTTTCACGTCCGGATTATAGATCATTCCGGATTATGGGTGTCCGAATTAACGACTTTTGACTGTATTAACAATACAACAAAAAGAAAATTTTTCTTCACAGGATAAATAATACTGCTGAATATGGTTTTAGATAACCAACAGAAAAATAGACTTGAAGCACTGAAAACTCCCCATCATATTTTATAATCCCCCCTTTTTTTTTTTAATCTTCCTTTGAATGCCACTGGCATACCTTCCCCCAAGTCACCTGTATCTGCTGCTATAACTATTGTTCTGGTTCCATGGACATCGAAACATACCTTCGCTTTGTAGATCTTTGAGAGCTCCAGCATCGGAAATTTTATTTGACATAATCAAAAGTTCAAGCCTACTTTTATAAAATTGCTCTAACAGTCTGCAAAAAATAATAAGTCGGATCCAATTCGAAGATTAAGGAACAACGCAATCTGCAACGTTAACTGAAATAGATAATTAGATAATTTTAGCTTATACCGTCCGTTATACATTAAATGCGCATGTGTAAATGTATTATGCGCAGCCATAAAGGTCTTACATGCATGCATCAAAGGGACGCATGCGCAGAAAGTTTGTAGCTTTGAGGTCCGAATTATAGATCATTCCGGATTATGGGTGTCTGAATTAACGACTTTTGACTGTGTACAAAATAATTCACTGGGCTTTAATAAGAAAAGTAATTTAGCTATTCTAGTGCAATAAGAAAGCCTGGAAGATGTAGATTTAATGCATTTAGCTATTTTTGCTGATGCATAGTCTTCTTCTGAGGTCCAATTTTGATTTCGAAAGTACACTTGTATCAAAGCAACTAAAACATATTCCAAAATATACTTTAATTTTTACCCCTTGATCTGGAAAGGGGATGAGGGGGGATTTTGGTAAAAGTATATTTTAGGGTACCTCTTGGCGATTTTGGGCAGTATATGGATACCGAATTTGTGCAAGTCTTTGACTTGTTATTTTGGTATGCTAAACAAAGCCAAAATAAGAAGACAAAGAATTGCACAAACTCAGTATCCATGTACACATCGACCTATTTTCATTTAAAACACCACAGAAATTCACAAAAATAAGAGTAAAAAATCTCCTGGTAAAAGTATAGTTAGTGTACCCCTTCGCGAAACTTGGTGGTTTTTGGCAGTACCTGGATACGGATTTTGTGCAATTCTTTGACTCATTATTTTGTTTTGCGAAGCGGGGATTTTTGCACAAAAAATTGCCGCTGAACAAAGCCAAAATAACAAGACAAACAATTGCACAAACTCGGTATCCATGTACACATCGACTTGTTTTCCCTTAAAAAATTCCCTGAATTGCACTAAAAAATGGCATTGCACACTCCTTTGACTTTATCCATGTACACGTCGACCTATTTTCACTTAAAAAAAAATTCCAGAATTGCACAAACTTGCATTGCGCACTTCCTTTACTTTGTCCATGTACACATCAATATATTTTCACTTAAAAAGTCAAAGGAGCACCAAATTCTACAATATAAGCAAACAAAAAATACATAATCTCAATAAAATACATTTTAAACCAAACAATAAAATAACATGAAAAGAAAAAACATGTTATACATTTAAGCACTACCAAAAGCAAATATTCACTTACCATGATTTTCGAGTTCGCTTCGTACACCCAGAGCCACGTAAAAATCAAAATATCAAATCATAGTTAAATGACTTTTTTCAAACCAGGTACTCTTTCTGATTGAACGTTTCACATAGTGACCATCTGAACCTTTCTTCCTACAAACCCATTCAAATCCATTTAAATGGTTTTTACGTTCAACTAGACGCTTATCCTTCCTACATACAGGACATTTATAATGGCTACTAAGTAAACTTCATTTACACACCAGTCAATTAAAGCTCTTTTATCCTTTCGCTCCAAATCGTACAGAAAATTCAAATTAATCTTACTACATTCGGCCATTCTACCGTCTAAAGAATCAAACCAACACACACTACAAAAATGCTTACAAAACATTCCCATGATTCAAAATTTCCCAGAATCAGGCACCTGATTACGTCACAATAGGGTTCCATAACATTCAACTTCTCAGGCTACCATAAATGAAACAACAACTTGGCGATAAATCAAATAACAACTTGGCGATAAATCAAACAACAACTTCGCCATACTACAAGGAGTACCTTAAAGTCTACTCTACCCAATCTCCTATGTATTCCGGACTGTCCCGAAAATGGCTACTAAGTAAACCTTTATTTACACACCAGTCAATTAATGCACTTTCCCTTTTTCGTTCCAAATCGTGCATAAATTCAAATTAATCTTACTACAGTCAGCCATTCTACTGTGTGAACAATGAAACAAGCAATGTATTTACTAACCACACACACCACAAAAGCCCTTACAAAACATCCCATGATTCAAAATTTCCCGGAATAATGCAAACGATTACGTCAGAATATAGTTTTCATAACATTCAACTACTCAGTTTACCATAAATGAAACAACAACTTGGCAATAAATGGAACAACAACTCGACGATAAATGAAACAAAAACTTCACGATAATACAAGGGGTACCCTAAAGTCGACTCTAACCGGATTTTTTTTTTTTTAAATTTCTGCAGCAAGTTTTTTTTCTTACCTCAAGCCACTATAAATTGTTCATAATGCTAGTAGGCCCAAGAGCTTGTATTAACCAAATTCTATTATTATGACAATTATGAGCCAGTTCAATTGTGAAATATTTCCTATCAATGAAAATATATTTTGTGATTAGTCACTTGTGGCTCATACACATTAAATTATGAGGATCAGTATGATTTAGACATGCAACAGAAGATTTTGTTTTGAGAACTAATTTCATTCCACAATGTTTTTCTGTTTAGTAATTGAATTTGATATGCAGTTCTATCTTTTAACTTTTCTTTTAAAAAGTTTATACTACTGTTTGTTCATGAACAAAAGGGTTTATTTAGTTCAGGTTTGTAAAAGCTCCACATGTGTTATCCTGCTGATATAGATGGATTTAAATTTTAGCTGGTATTGCTTACTGTTATGTTTGCTGTAAAAGTAGAGTTTAATTTCTTTTATTCAGTTTGTAAATAGTTCACAAACAGCCGTAAATTAGGGTATGCACAGATTTATCTCAGTTTCAAACAACAGGTTATTTGTGAATACCTCTTTTATACCATTTGATCATTTTATCTGTTTTTCAATTTGTAAATCAATATTGTCATAGCTTGTTATTTTGTTAATGCTTTATTTCTTTTTCAGGGTTGAAGGAATTGAAGATGTGAGTTAACATTTAATCATTCTTATGTAATAAATGTCATCATTATTTTATAGCTTTGATTGTTGTATCATTTGTTTATGCTGCTTGTGAATTAAGTAATCATTTAAGTAACTTTTTTTATTGTATAATTTCCGGCTGTAGGTCCAGTATGAAATGAGTAGAATTAAACAAAAATGTAAGTATATAATTATAATTTTATTTCACTGTATCTGCAATTAATATGAATTTTGCATAATACAATTTAGAAAGATTTGAACTTAACTGAATTTAGTTCATATTAAAAGTTACGTTTAATTCTATACTTTAAAAAATTATTTGTATTCTACAAATCATTATTGATATATTGTCTGTATTGCTTCCCAGTGAATCTCAGTTCTGAGAGCAGCAATCCTTAACCAAGATGCTAATAATACTTTCCTTAAAATGACATGCTTAACTTTGAGAACACTTATTATCACTTCCTTTAATATCTAATGCAGTATGTACGACATATGTGTAACACACTATGTATCAAGAAGTACCTTTCTTGATTTTCTAATGAAGTAATTTTTCTGTAGTCATAAAAAGATTAAGTTCCAGCTTCGTAGTGCTATAGTTAATATCTATCTTGTTTGCACCTCGTTTGTAATATAATAATGCATTTTGTTCAGAGGATCTACTTTAATACCCCTCTGTGGTAATTGTGTGCTTTTTAATCTTTTTGGTGATTTGACAACACTAATTTCTGTTTAGGTTGGATAACTAAGATATTACTGCGTAGTAGACATACTGTAGTGTTTAGCTAGTTTAATCAATGTTTATATTTATGTATGAAATCTGTATATACAGTTGTGTCTACATGTATGTAGGTCATTTACTTGCTGTGGTCTCATATTCTAATAAGTTATATATGGGCTTATATATTCTATATTATAATGAATAATTTATATGTGGGTTTTGTAAACCGACAGCTCTGTTGAAAGAAAATGTTTAGAAGGTTAGATATGTTTACAATTTATCATTCTTGTTTATTCTTTTTAAAAAGGTTAGTTCCATTATTTTAAATGCTAAATTGCAAATAGGTATCAACTACTTGTTCTTGCATTACTATTTAAATTATTATTTTTAAAACAAATTTAAATTATTCAAAAAATAATGTTCTTTTTCATCAAACATTGTCATTACCTTCTAAAGTTATAATCTGTACATTTTACGTTCTTCATATTTAAATAAATATGATAGACTTAATTTTTAAATGCTCTCTTCTTTGATAAATCTGATTAAGATGATAATTGCTTAACAATTTATTAAAGAAATAGATTTCAGGAACTCGTGGACAGGCCAGTTTAAATAACTTTATATGCTTTAGCTTAACAGTATATAGGATTGAAAAAGATTTCTGATAGTATGTTGCCAATAACTTTATCTTACTTAATTGATATAAATATAAAAGATTGTAAACTTATATTGCTAATTTGTAATCTGAATTGATTTTTCAGTTAATTATATCTAGAGAGTGACTGAAAAACACCAGTGAATTATTGAGATACTAATCTGATATCTCCTTTGATTATTAGGGAATTTTTGCATTTAATGTATATAATATAAAGCACCATTATATCGTAAGGGACCACTAAAAATGCCATATAAATGAGAGAAATATGTGTTTGGAATTTCTGTTTAACAATATAGATTGTATAAATTAGAGAATTTTAATTCTGTTTCTATATTTTTAATTATATTATACTACTGTAATGTTATTGTCATTATACAGATTTAATTTTTTGTGCTATTCTTAGTGTATTAAAATGCTATATATATGTAAGATAAAAAATATGAAAGCAAACTTCTAAATTTAATTCCCTATAACCTCTTTTATTTTCTATTTCATTTGGAAACTTCATCTATCTGTCCTAAAAATAGCACTTTAGTAAACTGCGTCATTCAAATTAATCATGTGATCTTACATAACCTTTAATGCAGATGCCTCTTGACCAATCACCTAATTGTAAACCAAAACTTAAAACTGAAACTTTTGCCTCCCCCTTCTTCCTCTGCATTAGTACTGCGACGCTCACTCTCTTCTGGTTTATGCTTTCATCCTGCTAAGACGCTTTTGCTTTGCGGCTACTTTCTTTGTTCAAGGAATATGTCCTGATAAAACAAAAATGGAGAGCGCATGAGACGATCGTCCGTATGTGAACCAAATATTGCAAATCCCGACTTGCTTTCTTCATTACTAAAGTTATTTCGAATCAGGACATTTTTGCCACGTTTCTTTGCTGCTCATCTATTATGCCACTGCCAAGCTCCAAATCATTCATTTTTTTCATATAATGGAGTGTGATTTTTTTTAATACAGTCAAAAGTTGTTAATCCGGAATGATCTATAATCCGGACCTCAAAGCTTAAAAACTTTCTGCGCATGCACCGTGTTGACACATGCGCATAGGCATTTACGCGTGCGCGTAAGACCTTTTACGACTGAGCATATGCGTGTGCGCAAGCGCAGAATACGTTTTCGCGTGCGTGTTTTATGTATAACGGACGGTATAAGCTAAAATTATCTATTTCAGTTAATGTTCAGTTAATGTTGATGATTGTGTTGTTAATTAATTTTCGAATTGGATCCGGCTTATTATTTTTTGCAGACTGTAAGAGCAATAATATAAAAGTAAACTTGAACTTTCGATTATGTCAAATAGAATTTCCGATTCTGGAGCTCCCAAAGGATCGTACAAAACGAAAGTATGTTTCGATGTCCATCAAACAAAAAATGGAAAAAGAAAAAGGAACTTTTTGAATTTTTTGTGGAAGCAACTTAAACAACTTACATTGAAAGAAATGTTTAATAAAGTAAACAAATAAATATTAAGCTTTTTTTTTTGTAAATTTTGATACCCTTTAGATCATAATTGTTCTTTATTTCATAAATTACGGTTTCATATTTTTAATTTTATAATTTCTGCATGCCATCTTACGAGATTTAAACTGATGATCTAAAATCCGGAAAAATCGATAATCCGGAATCGCCGAAGTCCCAACGAGTCCGGATTAAGGACTTTTGACTGTATAATGGATTGTAGCACAGTTCAGTAACCATTCATGAAAATTTAATACATGAGTTTGTTTAAAGTGGATTTGCCCAAATAGCTGGATGTGTGTAATAGGAGAAAGCTGTGGGGGTCTTCTAGTTTGTGTAAAATACGAAAATTGTAAAATGTAGTAATTACAAGTAAAAACCATAGTTTTAACAATGCTATTCCAAATGATGAAAGTATTACACATAAATGTGAAAATTAGTTTGGTGTAAAATTTTAAGATTTATGATTATTTGTAATAATTAATGTGTGTATAAAAGTTTTATTATAATTGTGATCTGATGTGCAAAATGTTTTGGAAATCTTTCCGTTAAGTATCAAAAATGTGATGTGAATGTTCCAGAAACAAGAACTTTCTACCGATTGGACTCAAATCATCATAGGACTTTAAAAATTATTATTCAGCTTAAAATTTTATGTATTATAATTTTATTATTCAAAAGCTAATAGAATCAAAAGTCGTTAATCCGGACTCGTCGGGACTTCGGCGAGTCCGGATTATAAATTTTTCCGGGTTATAGACCATCAGTTTAAATCTGGTAAGATGGCATGCAGAAATTATAAAATTAAAAATATGAAACCGTAATTTATGAAATAAAGAACAATTATGATCTAAAGGATATCAAAATTTACAAAAAAAAAAGAGCTTAATATTTATTCGTTTACTTTATTAAACATTTCTTTCAATGTAAGTTGTTTAAGTTGCTTCGTTTTATGTGATAATACTTTCTCTTTAATTCTATAAACAGACATAATTTCTTGTTCAGTTACAAAGTTCTGCTGTTCAAGTCCTATAATTGCTGGGTCGAGAATACCGACTAATTTGTCAATGGAAGTTTTTTCGTTTTCAATAACCTCTGTGTCACTTCCTTCACTATTGGAAGCGAATTATAATGATGAGGAATTTGATTTAAATCATATCAAAGACGGAGTACATCGAGACGAAATACTACATTTAGTAAGGAATTATAAGCCAAATAAAATAAAAACATCTGCCTTGAAGATAAGGATAATGCTGACAGATCAACTTCAAATTCATTGCGTGCCTCGGTGTTCCCCTCCCGCCGCAGTGCAGCGTGAAATTGATAAACAGATTTCGGAATGGTTAGAGAAACAAAGGATATGCCTTTATCCATTTTTTGCAGCAATTCCACTTTTTATTTGATGGACATCGAAACATACCTTTGCTTTGTAGATCCTTTGAGAGCTCCAGCATCGGAAATTTTATTTGACATAATTGAAAGTTCAAGCTTACTTTTATAAAATTGCTCTAACTGTCTGCAAAAAATAATAAGCCGGATCCAATTCGAAGATTAAGGAACAACACAATCTGCAACATTAACTGAAGTAGATAATTAGATAATTTTAGCTCATACTGTCTGTTATACATTAAATGCGCATGCGTAAATGTATTATGCACAAGTGCACACGCATATGCGCAGCCGTAAAGGTCTTACGCGCATGCGTCAATGCGATGCATGCGCAGAAAGTTTGTAGGTTTGACGTCCGGATTATAGATCATTCCCGATTATGGGTGTCCGAATTAACGACTTTTGACTGTATTATGTTTTGTATGTTTCAAAATTATATTTCTCATATTTTTGCTACTCTAATGCTTTTTCTCTCAAAAAGATTTCTTTATCGCTTCGCATTTTTCTTTTGAAAGAGGAGAATGTGTAAGATAAAAAATATGAAAGCAAACTTCTAAAGTTAATTCGCTATAACCTCTTTTATTTTCTATTTTATTTGGAAACTTCATCTATCTGTCCTAAAAATAGCGCTTTAGTCTAAACTGTGTCATTCAAATGATCATGCAATCTTATATAACCTTTAATGCAGAGGGCTCTAGACCAATCACCTAATTGTAAACCAAAACTTAAAACTGAAACTTTTGCCTCCCCCTTCTTCCTCTGCATTTAGTACTGGGACACTCACTCTCTTCTGGTTTATGCTTTCATCCTGAAAGACGCTCTGTCTTTGCAGCTACCTTCTTTGTTCAAGGAATATGTGCTGATGAAAAAAAAATGGAGAGTGCATAAGATGCTCATCCATATGTGAACCAAATTTTGTGAATCCAGACTTACTTTCTTCAATAATAAAGTTATCTTGAATCCGGACATTTTTGCCACCCTTTTTCGCTGCTCAGCTATTATGCCACCGCCAAGCTCCAAATCATTCATTTTATATCATGACATATATATATACAGTCAAATACCGAAAATCCGTCGACCTGAAATCCGTCAACTCCTGAAATTCGCGTTGCCTCTCAGAATATAAACAATCAGTTTATAGGTTCTTGAAACCGCAACATTGAGTATGAAATATCGAAGAAAAAAAATACTTACCAAATAGTGATGTCATAATTACCGAATAATAATGAGTCAAAACGTAAATATCAAATTATTGATATAAAAAAGTTAAAAAAATAAGATAAAATAAATAAGTTTTTTTCCCTCTAATCTGCATTGAGGTAAAAAAGGAGATGATTCACTCAACTCTGTTTTTTTTATCTGGATATTTTGTGATAAATTAAGAATATTTTTAATTTCAGCCTTTTTTAATACAATGACAGATAAGAAAAGCATTCATGATTTTATTGCTTGCAACATTGAAAAATGTAAACACGTTGCATTGACGGTAACGCAAAAAGTGCAAATTCTGCAAAAGAGGAAAGCAGGTGCTACTCCATGATTTATAGGAGAATGGTATGGAATTGTGACATGATTGTGTATGATATACAGAAAAATAAAGAAAAGCTGTTGAAATTTTACAGCAACAGTGATTCTTGTTGAGTGTTTCTTCAACAGTGTTGAGTGAATCATCTGCTTTTTTTTTTGATTCTAACACCCGAATCCGAAACCGGAAATCTTTGCATGAGACCAAATCGGCAAACCTCGATGCTGTGTACATATAATACAATGAATAATATAATCAATTTATATATGTAATAATAATTTAATGCATATAATAATTTAATGCATATAATAAATTATTGCAATAATTTAATTAAATGTATCTAATACACCTTATTCATTTTGCACTTTTAGTCTGAATATTATGCTTTATCTTTTCTGTCCTAAAATCCGCACAACCTCTCGTCCCAAACTTTGCGGAGTTCTGGAATTCTACTGTATTTAAAAATTGTATCATTTTTTAAATAATAAAATTCAAACTGTTAATGAGTAAATAATTAATTTTTTTTCAAGAAGATTTTAGTATAAATATACAGATTTCAGTCTTTCTATGTAAGTAACTATCATGTGTTATTTGATGCGCTGTTTGATTTTGAGCTTTAAACCTCCAGCTGGCCAAGGGTTTGGGTCTGAAACCCAAAATTTTTCAAAAAAGCTGTGAGAAAGAGTTATTTCTTCATTAAAACAACAAAATATTACCGGTATTTTATACCTGAAATCTTTTTCTTTTAAAATACTACTTTAATTTTCATGGGTGTATTTCAGGATATATGTATGTATACTTATTTTTCAAGATGGTCAGCAGTTGGTGTTTTTCCAGGGTTAAGCAAAGCACTATGAGCTCAAAAGGCAAATAATAGTCCAGTTAAAACACTGGGCACAGGAATTTTTCTGGTCATTGGACTTCATTATTTGTTCTACCCTTTTTTGAGTTTAAATTCCTAGTCAACCTGAGATATCTGAATATACCATTTACAGATAGTGTTGAGTTGTGAGGGACTTTTGGAGAAACTACATAATCTGCAAAAAGAGAATTAGTCAATAAAAAGATTGCTTTTTGATTATTTACACCCCCTTCCTGAAGAGTTGCCAACCATTGGTGACTAATTTTTTGTGAAGATCAAATACAAAAGACAACAGCCATTTACAAAAATGTGAACTAAGAATCATGAAACAGCAATGTATTAGCAAGACTAAAAATGCAAAAAACATGTGTAGTAAAACATTTTTTCCCATGTAAACAGCAATCTGTTTTAGCTTCAAAAAACATCAGAAAATTGCACAATTTGGCACTGCTGTTAGTTTTCCATATTTATAAATTCTCAAAATTTGTAATAACTGAAAGGGAAATGCACATCATACATTGGCTTTCATGAGAATTATCCAAAGTTTATCAGACGTATAGTAAAACATTCTGAACAATAATGTTTTTTTTTGATACTAGAAAATTTGTTTAGATTTATGAGTCGTATGTAAAATTTGATTATGATAATTGTGTCATCATAATATTAAATATATAATTATATCATCATATAATTAAATTTTTAGATATTACTTAATATTCCTAATATTATGCTTTCAGTTGTTGCTACATGCATTGTTATAACTAAATTTCTTTTAACATGTAGAATATATTTTTTGGAGATTTGAGTCTTATAATAGTTTAATAAAAGAAATGCAAGAATTATAGTGACATAATGGGAATGTGTAACATTCTCATTGGTCTGCTAATTAGGTCAAATATGTATTTCAGCTTATGTAGTTTGACTGTTGTTTTCTTTATCTTGTTTGAATATTTTGATGCATTCAGTGTAATCACTTTATCAAAAATTATTAAATGATTATATTTATTTATATTTTTATTTCCCATTCTCAGTGCAAGAATTAAAAGCATTACATGATAAAAATGTTACACGTCCTTCACTTGATGATTCTCTTCATGAAGAAAAGGAAATTGAAAATGTTACGCAAGATATAACCAGAGTATGTATTTTTTTATTAATTTATAGCAGAAGAGCAAAAAATTGCATGATACGAATTATGTAAGACTTGTGGAAAGAATTTTTAAAAATTATTGTAAACTTTATTAGTAATTTATATATTATCAAAAAGAATAAATTATTTATTTAAAATTTTAAAGAAATTCATACTTTGTGAAATTAACATTATATGTCCTATGAACAGATAACTCGAAATTCAGACAGTTAGCTTTTCAAGCAAGGAATATAATTTGGTGAAACTAATAGCATTAGCAATTTTCAACTTTTTTCAACTTATGGAGCATTGAACAGGGCACATTAAAATTTTTCTGTAACAAACATTTTGTCATTTCTGAAATGAGTGTGAAGATTGAAGATTGATTTGAGAACTGAGTGTTTAAAAAAAGGTGTTTTGCCATTTTGAATCTACATATGAAGTGTATTTAAACTGCACTGATGTTAAATATGTGTGGTTACTTATTTTTGTTTTTCCTACCTTCCATTCACCAGGATGATGCTTAGATCAGTAAAAAAATCGGAGATTGAAATATTTTAACCCTTTCCGGCACACTACCTTTTGAAGTTGGGATTTCAACCCCCCCCCCCAAAAAAAAAAAAAAAAAAAGTAGGCAGTGTAATCAGGCCTATAGGAGTACACAAAGTAAAATTTTCTAAAGATAGCACTTACCATTTTAATTCTGTGGATGTGCTTAAAGCGGGCTGACTAAATGAATATAGCTTCGAAAAGAGCGCTGAAGCGAGCATTGCTGGGAGATACGTAATAGAGTAACAGATTTTGCCTACAGCCCCTTCTGATTCATTTACAAAATAATTAAAAATCAGAAAAAAATAAATTAATATCTACAATTAAGAAAATATAAACTGTAAAATAAAATGGAATAAACGTGTATAACTCAAAACTATCAAAACGTAGAGCCAACAATACTTCTTTCAATGAAAGAAAAAAAAGAAAAACTACTCTAGTGAAAAATAAAAGAGCTAACTAATAAAATTATCCCTGACTATCATAAAAAAAAAACTCCAACAATTTCTTAGTTGTTAATTAAACCTCCTTCCCCCCCCCCCAAAAAAAAGGAAAGGAGATGAAACACAAATGTGCACCCACCTTTCTATTGTGAATGAGCTCACTGAAGAAAATACTGTAGATAAGTTGAAAATACAAAGGTACAGTTGATTTGGTCCTTGTGTTTCAGTGATTCCACTGTGGGCACACCAGATGTTCATCATTTGATTTTAGGCATGATTTCAAAGTAAAAATTTAAAACTAAAAGAAATCGGCATACAGCCAAGAAAATAACATTGAAATTTTGTTTTATATCTTTATATCCTTAAAAAAATCTGTAAGATTTCTTTGAAAAATTAGGGTCTTTAAAAATAAATATAGCTAAAAAGTATGGACTGGTTTGTGTTGTACTGTCATCTAGTATCTAGTGTATATAAAGAAGGTTAAAAGTAACCTATAAAGCTTTTTCCCATTTCGTTTTTCTTTGTGTACATCCTTCCTTGGAATTGTTTGGGCACACTATGCCAGAAATGGTTAAATAACAAAGTAATGCATATCAAGTAACAGTAAAATCTCATGACCAGATAAAAGCAGTTATACTATCTATTCTAGTTTTACTGGTCAAAGTGTTAATGCAAAATTGCATGGAACAACAGCTTTGAGCATGGTAATATAGTAAAATACTGTAATGGAAGTATAAGAGGAACAAACGCAATAATAAAAAATAAGATGTTTGCAATATCTTTGTTAATGTCATGTTGTTAAGTCTTTGGGATCATTATGAATATAGAGTATTTGTTTATAAAATAGTATTTCAGTCTAGAATAGAGACTAAAATCTTCACTTAAAAGAAATGTATTTTATATTGTACCTTAGTTAAAATCTTTTGATTCTGTATATGATGAAAATTTAGCTGCTATCTGAAATACAAAAAGTATCTTCTGTAAAAATTTGGTTAATGAATAATGGCACTTGGTAGATGTTATTCATCAACATTGTTTAGATAAGTATTTTATTGTAAAATTATCCCCTGAAACTTGGAATGGCATTAAATTGTGTGAAATTTTTTTCCCCTTCTAAATGATGGACATTGTAAAATTATTAATATACTAATTGGAATCTCACATAGTTAGCAAATAATAAAAGTTTTTGAAGCAGTTGCACTATCAAGAAGTGAGGGTTTAAAAGCTGTAAAGACAGAATATTGGAAAAACTAAAGTCCAAATATTTTCATTCTTTATTATTTTTTGAATGCATCAAAAGTTTTATATAATTTTCTTTAAAATAGTCCATAAAGCTCCTTAAAATTTTCATAAAATACTCTGCAATAATTTGCTCTAATGAATTACAGCAACAAAATTCTGAGAGATACTATTTCTGCATAAGATTGTCAATTTGCTGCAAAATCAATGTATAGAATTTTTAGATAGTTTCAACCAAAAAATAGATTTTTTTTGTAGTTTTGATTTTAGCTAATTATATTATCATATATGATACATTATCATCTATGATATATATCATAGATGATATATAGTGGTTACATTGCAGATATTTCCTAAAAATAGAAATAATTATAGATCAAGGTTTATTTAGATTTAAAATTTTTTGTCATAATTTAAAAGGTTTGTAAGTGCAAAATAGGAAAGGCCAAAAAGCATTGTAGTTTTCTTTATGTGTGATATAAATATGAGTTAGTTTCTGTTACAGATCCTTCCTTGGAAGATTTTTTTTTTCTAATGTAAATAGACATCAGAAGCCATAATAACAATCTTAGGGCTGGATTCACTTAGATTGGGATAAGATTCACATACATTAGGTAATATAGTGGGAGATTTGATGAGTTATGGTATTTTGAAGTCATGTGCTGTTAAATTTGCTATTTTTATATTCTAGTTATGCTATTCATTAAGTTTCATTTTTTGACTAAGTGTTGATTGTTATTTAATTTTTTAAGTGGTGTAACCATCTTTATTGAGTCATATTGTTTTTTCATTTGATGTACATTACCTTAAAATTTTGTTTTCTTATTTACTTTAATGATTTAAGCATTATCATGATAAATGAAAGTTTATGAAAACATTATTATAGTTTATGAAACATAATTAATTATGCAAATTTAGCTAATAAATGCTATTTAAATATAGTTCTTCATAATCAGATACAAAAAGTGATGCCACTCAGAGGTTTAAAGGGCATGTTTGGAGATAGCCTTTAATGAACCACCGTCTTTATAAATAAAATGCTCATCATGTTTGCATTTGGTGTGAAACTAAACAATATCTTGCTGAATTCTCTTGTAATTCTTTGGCATAAATATGCATTCACAGCTCAAGAAGCATTTATAATTTATCATAATATAATTTGTATTATAAAAAATTATGCTTCTATTATGTTACTGTTTCAAGTTAGATAATTATTTGTTAAATTAGCCACCACACTTAATTGCAAGAATTTTTTACTGGAATAGTTTATGGAAATTTGTTTGGAATAAAGATTTTAAAAATTTATTTTAAAATTGTATATATTTTGATTCAAGAAGTACAGTTTGCAGTTCAGATGCATATTTGATGCATAAGTTAGAATTTTAAATGTTACATTAATAGTTGCTTGTATTTTATATCTTAATTTTTCATTAGTTCTTCATAAAATTTGTAGTAGAAGCTACTCTGAATATTTCATTATGTATTTTATAAGAGAAGCTACCATGAATATTTTGTTATGCATCTTAAATAACCCATTGATTCGAATTTCAAACAGACATTAAAAAGCTGCATAGTAAAACTGCCACAATTTTTTTATAAACTAAATTGACATGTTAGGTCTTTTACATCTGCTACCTACTGGTAGGTCTTTTACATCTGCTATCTACTGTTAGGTCTTTTACATCTGCTACATTACTTCATGAAATTCCAAATTATTATTTCACTTTGTCTCGGAAATTTTCTTCCATTTGCCTTTTGTGCTTTCTTTTTGATTAAAGAATCAAACTTCTTATATATGTGGTGGCAGAATGGCTTTGCATATTTGACTTATGGTCAGACTGTTGTTGGTTTAAAAACTAGACTTTGGCTTTTGTCATCTTTTATTCCAATTGTTAACCTTTTGTGTGTTAATTATTTTTTAAATAAATTTTTTATGCCAAATTGCATAATTTTTTTTAAATTAAGTTATATTTTTAAAATTAAAATATATCCCCCTCCCAAAGTTTGGTTTTCCTCTCCTGTTCAAAATTTCATTTTAAGTTCACATTAGATTTCAATAGCAAATTTTTATACTATTTTTTATTACTTTGGCTGTTTTTATGCTTTATTTATAAAAATAGATCTTTTGAATTTGAAATATTTTTAGTGATACATAATTTCCTCATATTTCATTTACATAACTTAAGATAGCAGAATCAGTTCCATTTATTTTATTTCATATTTTGCTTTTTAAAATACTTTTTTATTATAATATTTTCATATTAAATTATTGTTTATTGAATGAACCAATTAAATGTCTTTGCGTGTGATGGAAAAAACATATTTAAAAATATTCATTTTAAAGCTGTTTAGAAAGATACTGGAGTTCTCACTTGATAACCCAGTTATAACAAATCTACTTTGTTCCTTGGCATATTGAGTAATATGTAGGAGCCAGAACTAGTATGTGAAATACAGTACGTCTATAATCCGGACGTCCATTATCCGGAATGATCTATAATCCGGACCTTAAAGCCACAAACTTACGCATGTGCGTTTAACCTTTTTCGAATGTATTTTGGCCATTTAGTCACTTATTTTAACTGAAAGGAACAGAAAAACAAATCGACAGGGTATTGCACTTCCTAATCCATATTAAGGAGTAAATTTTAAATCTCCATAGTTTACTGAAATTTCTTGAGACACATTTAAAGTAGTGAACATGCGGGACATATATGTCCCAGCCCCCGGGAAAAGGTTAATGCGCGCGTGTCCGCTACGCATGCGCATAAAGCGGTTACCCATGTGGGCTTCCGATAGTGAAGAAAGTGACAGAGACGAAATGAAAACGAAAAAATTTCGATTGACAAGTTAGTCGCTATTCTCGACATAGCAATAACAGGACTTGAACAGTGGAACTTTGTAACTGAACAAGAAATTATGTCTGTTTATAGAATTAAAGAGAAAGTATTAGCACAAAAAACAAAGCAACTTACATTGAAAGAAATGATTAATAAAGTAAAAAAAAAAAAAAAAAAAAAAAGTTTGATACCCTTTAGATCATAATTGCTCTTTATTTCATAAATTACGGTTTCATATTTTTTATTGTATAATTTTTGCATGCCATCTTACCAGATTTAAATTGATGATCTATAATCCGGAAAAACCCCTAATCTGGAATCGCTTGAGTCCAGATTATGGACTTTGTACTGTAGTAGTATAAATTTTATCATTGATCCTGTTTTTAAGGATTTGTTAATTTAGTGATTACTGATTGTGAAACTTTAGCTAATTAACAATTGTGATAAGAATCTAGCCTTTAGTTTAACTTAGTACAATTTTGAAAACAACAGTTGCACTAGTAAGTTCAGAATAATTTAAAAAAAGATTCTGAACTTTACTGTGTGCTATTATGGCTGATACTGCTTTCTTTCAAGATCTTGTTAAGAGTGATAGATTAAGGATAAATTATTGGGTACTTTTCTGTTTTGCCGGCGCAGGCAATAATTTCGCCAATAATGGTACAACTGACGCCAAATGTAATATCCTCGCTGGTAACCTTTTATGCCTCATTTTCAAAACAATTCACAGCCATTTCTTATCAGATTGATTGTTTCTTTCAATACTGGCAAATAATTACATAGAATTTTTACCAGATAGTTCAGTTTTATGCCATAAGGCCATTCGAGGTAATTAAGCCAATTAGGATGCAATAACACCTCTCACCCGAAGGTGAAAATATAGAAAAGGCAAAGTCAAGGTTTAAATTTATCCATTCTTAATGAGAATGTACTAGCGAAGTAAAGCACTGCGGTTTTGCATAATGTCTGAGTAAGCTATTTGTACAAATTGAAATAATTCTTGCGTTTAAACTTGTATTCCAAATTAAGATTTAACTTAAAATTAATGTAGATAACTACTGAGAGAATTAGATTTTTGTAGCATAGTTTATGTGAGCTGTGATCACTTGGGGTCACGTGATATGAACCGGTGAATCAGGCTGTTGAAACATGAAAACATTGTAAATTCTTAAAATAATGTCTTTTTACAAATTTATTGTCTTTATTTATTGGTATTTTACAAAATTTTAAACGATATTAAAATGCTTATGCGTTCAAAATAAAAAAATTTTAGAACTAACATTTGTTAACATTTTTTATATGTATGCTGTATGTTGTCACCAAATAAGTCTGCTTGGCGAGATTTGCGCCAATGAAACGATAAGTACTAATTATTGTTTAAAAAAATTTTTAAATGTATTTTTTAAATGATTATGTGATTTAAATAAATATATATGGTATTAAAATTATGCAACATTTATTCTGCAGGAAAAATGCATGTCTTATAAAATGAAGCTTATATTTATGTACGAAATAGGGATATTTCTGAATACTCACACCCCTGTTCTGAAAAGTCAGCAATCATTGCAGACTAATTTTTTGTCAAGTTGAAATGTGAAAGACAACAGCCATTTTCAAAACATCACAGTGCACTAAGAATTGCATAAAACTGCAACTGAAAGTGCAAGAAACAACTATAATAAAACACTAAACTTTTTTTTTTCAAAAGTTGTTCTATTCATATCTACAGTAATTTTCAACTTAAAAAAAATCAGAGATTCATATAAACTCTGCATCACATATAATATGGCACTGCACGCACTGTCATTCTCCTCATGTATACAGTGATTTGATTTTGCTTAAGAAACCTCAGAGAATTGTGCAAATTAATCATCCCATGCAAACTTTGATTGTTTAAGAAGTACAGTTTCATGGATTGTGAATTTTTGCATTGTGTATCGTTGAACAAAATGCCATGTTTCTGAAGAAATGAAGCTAGCTTTCTTATTGAGCCAAAAAATTCCATGTACATTAATATTCTTTACAAGAAGAAAATAATATACTCAAATGCAACAAAAGCGACTCAAATTTGAAGGCAGAAGTCAACTCTTCTCTGCGATATAATGTGGCACATTGCCCTCACTGCCACTTTTTGTGCTTGCCACAGTGCTTTGCATTGTGAAAGCTTACCAAATGGCTGCAGATAGTCAGAAAGAACCAAAAGGGTATTACTGTTTTATTAAGAAAATATAATGCATTTTAGGTACTTTGTATTCACTTAAAATATTAAAAACTGTGATGTAATTTCTAAATTTTATGCCAATTCTTTTTTAGATGTTTCATCACTGCCAAAAGATAATACACCAAATACGAGAAAGAAGCCGAGGTACCACATCTCGAGAACATCAAGTCAGTCAGAATGTTCTGTCATCATTAGTTAGTTCTCTACAAGAATTATCTTCAAAATTTCATTCTGCGCAATCTGAACATCTTCGTCGTGAGTAATTAATATCTTTTATATTTTGATTATACAAATATATGTTGATAAAAACTTTCAGGTATTAAAATTTATTCATTTCGTTTCCATTAATAGGGCAGCAAATAAAAGCCTGCCATTGACAGCAGTCGTACACAGTAAACTACGCTAAACTTCATGCTAGTTGTTTTTCAGTTGAGACACATTTTTCATACTGTAAGACCACAAGAGTCCTTAGAATTTTTGGAAATGATTTTTAGTCATTCAATGTTCTTAATTTCAGCCAAAATTCAAAGAGATCCTAAATTTTACTCATCTGACATTTCTCTCTGTTTTTTTAGAATTGTCGTTTTCATGTGAATTAACATTTTGTAGGAGTATTTTCTGGTGCTTTATTGAAGAATGTATGTATTTTGGGTAATCATTTGAATTTATTCTTACTTGTAATGCAAATGGTGCGATACTCGAAATTTTAGGCACATGTCCTTACCTCGATCGAAGTCATTTCAAAATTATTTCTTTTTTGCAGATGAAGAGCTCGTAAAATATTACAACACAAACAACTTTTCCCTTTTGGGAATATGACTTCTTTTGTTAGGCAGCACTAAATTTAGTAACTTATCAATATTTTAGGGATTTTAGACCAATTAGTATTTAAAATTTTTAATTCAAAGATATGCAAATTTTGTCTTTTGCATTTTTTCATGACTTAGGAATATTTTGATTCTGAAAAATCATCATCTTTTGTATTTTTTCATAATAAGGGTTTTTCTTGCATATGAATTATTCAAATGTATATCAGTTTTCTCAAAATTCACTTCAACTTTTCTGAAAAATTTTTTTTTTTTCTAAAAATCTTCTAGCTATTAACTCTTATAGATTTGGTAGGTGTAAGTTTTCTTTTGGATTTTAGATCTCTCACTGCGGAAGGTCTAAGGGTTTCAAGGCAAGTTTATTGAACTTGTGATTCCAAAAGATTCCAGAAAAGTATGTCTAAAAAAAAAAAAAAAAGTCTTCATGCCATTAACATGTAATGAATAAATTTTACAGGAAGTTTGTGATGAATTTCTTATTTTTTGAAGAAGAGTGAAAACAAAATTATTGAAGTTTTCTGCTTTTGATTTTAGAAGTCTTTCTCTCAACATTTTAATCTTTCTTTTATTTTCTCTTCTTTTCTGTATATACATACAAGCAGACAAAATTGTAAAAATGTTTCTATTCATATAACATGGATCTATATCTGTTGAAAGGAAATTATCTGTTAATGGAGAAATTGAAAATTGACAGTTTAAAAGGTTAATTTTACATGTCTCAGTACACCATACACAGGACTCACACTAGGCATTTTTATGCTTGGTGCAATCTCTGTGGGTCATGAATTGCTGTCCAGTGCCTGCCCCAAATTTTAAAAATTTTGCCATCCCTCAGTTTTGTTGCTTGGTGTTTCACTAAATTCTGAAAATTCTGCCTCTCCACTCTGTCACCAGCTCTGATCATATATCATTTTATATTTATTCTCCATGCATGTATAATTAAAAATAAAATCAGATTAGCAATTTCTTCTATACATTCTAAATGCATGCAGTTTTTTAGAATAACAGAAATCTATAATTAAATCTGAAAATTCTAAAATGAACAAGAAACTTATTGAGAAGGAACTTGGTTACATAAAGAGGAAAAAAAATTGAATTGTTTTTCAATGTTACATTGCTGAAATATTAATTAATTAAAGAGATGATGCAGAGACTAGTGGGGAAATCGATTTGTTTATTGAAGCAAATGTATTTAGAAAAAGTGATTCAATGCTAAAAGCAAGTTACCCCTTGTGTAAGAATTGGAGGGTTTGTTTGCTACTGTATTTAAGCAACCCACAGCCATCAGCAAGTAGTTAGCACTGTTTTGCTTGTGAGCACTTGCTCATATTTTTATCAAAGTTGATTTTGTTAGGCTTCTATGTTTATTAATGTGTAAAATCTGTTTTATATTGCTTTACAGTAAGAAAATGTGGACTGTTTTATAATTTGTAAATAATTAATAGACTTTCATGAAAAAAGAAAATTTTGATTATTATATTGATTACAGTTTTTACAAAGACAAGGACTGTAAAAATTACATATGATATTCAAGCAAAGAATTTTCAGGAACTGTGAATTCTTATGATTATTTCTGGAAAAAATTAAGACTCCAAATTTATATAATTTTAAAATTTATTCTAGAGAACATTTCAAGAACTGTATATATTTTTAGAGGAAATGAAGTTACAAACTTTTAAAAATTAAAAATCATTTAGTCTAGGTATTATGTAATATTTTGTTTTGTTTTGTAAAAGTACCTTCTGCTTATTAAATTCTCTGGTTAATAAACTCAGCTGCTTATTGCATTCAAATTTGCTGGAACAGAAACAAATACATACTAATTAATAGAAAAATTGCTGTTTATTAAACTCAGATTGGCAAAAAACTTATTCTTCAATGGCAGGAAATCTTACATGTACCTATCAAAGTTTTTCGTAGTTCATCCATTTAATAGTTAACAAATATTCAGTTATGCAGCGCTTGAATAAAATGAATTTGGCCGATATTTTCCTCCCTCTCCAGTCCCTGTACCTGCGAGACACTTGTTTCCAGAGTTCTTTGTTCGCACTTGCTTCAGAGTGGCAGAATTTCCTTATTTTAAGGTTAACAATAGCAATTCTTTAGAGGCGCGAGAGTTCCTTCTCTAATACCAGCTGATAGGATGTGAAAGTGCAACTTCTGAATACCACCTTTTAAGGTTTTCATCTTCAAAATCCTCTGCGTGATTAGCATTATGTTTACAGAGTTTTAAAAAAGTGCATGAAATGCTCCTGAGCATTATCATACATTTAGAGTCTTTGTATAGAAAGGAAGTAGTAATTGTAGACTGAAGAAAAAGTAATAAACACATTAGTCGTTCTTGTAATCATGAAGTGGCACAGTCAGACTAAACAGACAAAAGGCAATCTTTCTGCTGCCTAGAAATTTAAATTCTGGAATTTAAGTACATCACTGGAAGAAACATACTTTTAAATTTGTTGTGTGCTTAACCTGTAACTTGTCAAAAAGCCTCGCAAAAAAATCTGAGGCTGAAAAAAAAAAAAAAAAAAAGGATAAATTGTTAAAAGATTTTAATGCTCTCATTAATTGCAGCCAGAGGAACTATAATTATGTGGGAATTTCCCAAACAACATTATGCAATTTTCTTAAACAAGGAATTTTAATTAATGAAGAATTAACGAAACATGCAGGTAACTCAAGGAAGTGTAAAAGAGACAAATCAAGAGATGCTGAAATTGCCTTTTTAGAATGGTTTTGTGGGTGGCTGGCAGCAGATAGTGCATCTGACTCCATACATTTACATTGATACATTTGTGAGGTTGCATAATATTTAACTGCATTTTTGAACTCAAAACATATTTATTACAATTACGAGAATGGATAGCATAGCATAAAATAATTACTATAGTCAAATATAGGCCTCGTGATGTGAGGAACCTGTTCTCTAGTCGAGAGTTCAAGAGCATTCTGGCATGTTGTTCCGAAGGAAAAAATCAGCAGACTGAATTAACCGTGCCTCCTTATTTTTTCACTTGTATTTTATATCCTCTGATTCGTAGTATCTAGAAAGATATCAGAGGAAAAACAAGATCATTAGTTTGTCAGCCCTCCCGAAATCGAGAGGCTTTGACAACAGACACAGTGCAGAATACTTCTTGACACTTTATTATTATTAGAATTTTATGTGAACTAATATATGGCTCACAAGTTCGAGAAAGAGAAGCAAAGGAGTATTTATTACATTATTAGCAATATTATTTATCAGAAATTGCATTGTGAGAAATAAGAAGCAAATCATCATGCAGCTAGTAACTGGGTAAAAGATGTTTTCTTGGTCTACTAAATGAATACAAACCTCTCGAACGTTATAATGCAGACAAAACGGGACTGCATAACAGAACATTGCAAGAACACAGATTGATATATAAAACTGAAACGACATTTGGTTTAGAAAGGCTGAAGTTACTGCATCATTAATGGGCAATATGAGCCCAACGATTAAGTGACAGCATTGATTATCGACAAAAGGACAAATAGTATTTTTACTGTTTTTTTTTTAAATGGGATAGTGAACTAAAAATTGAAAAAAATAAATTTTACTATTTAGATAACTGTGCAGCACACACACATATCTCTCTGAAAAACATTAGTGTCTCTTCCTGCAAATACAACTTCAGTCCTTTATTTTAAGGTAATATAAAAGCCTTCCAAGTGTCATTATGCAAAAGATGTTAAGTAAATGATGAAGAGAAGTTTCTTTTCTTTTCACCATCGACGGAACAGCTGGCCCACTGGGTTAGATGCTTTTCAGCCTGTTGGATCCCGTTGATGGAATTAAATACATGAATAAATATAAATAAAGAGCTTAGTACTGTGTCCTCCGGTGATTGGCCATGAAATGAGGAACACTGAAGTAAGAACCAGAACATGGAAAGAAGGTGCATGGTGGGGGGACTGCTGAGACTAAGCGGAACACTTTTCACTATTATCGTACATGTTAGGCATACAGTTATATTAAGGATGTGCTATAAAGACGAAGAGAACTGAATTTTGTGAAAGTGCAAGCTTTTGCAAGGCGATAAGTTTTAGGAAAAATATCTCTGTTAGAGGCTATGTATAGTATAGTCAATACAGGGGGTTAACCTCTTAAAATCAGTAAAAAAGTATTTTAAAAAATGTGGCTTTTACATAGAAGAAGCCTGAGAGGAATTGCAAATTATAGCTAATGTTTTAGATATTAATGAGTGAAGTTATGAGGGCGATATTTAAACAGCGTGCATGAAAACTGATTACGTAAGTGTTAACTGCAGAAAACTGACTGCAAAAATGATATAGAAAGAAAAAACGAATGACATGCCATCATCAATCAAAAAGCACTGTAAATTCTAAGAAAAATTCTTGAACTGAAAAATGATCAAAAAAGATATCAGCAATTTTGAAAAATTGAGATTGCAATTGAAAAACTGTTGTTGAACAATATGAAACAAACATTTATAGAATAGTTGTTTGTAATAGATTGAATTTTAATAAGAACTATAAAAATATGTTATATAAAAAATTGTAAAATGAATTTCAAAATTGCATAAGTAGTTTAGTTTTAGTCGTAATTTTTAATTATTATTTTAAGATTAATTAATGAATAGTAAATTATAATTTTACTTGAAAAGTTTAAAATTGTTATCCCAATTTGCAATACACAATCCCTGTTTATTAAACTCAGACACTTAATAAACTTAAAGATGCTCTGAAAGGAAGTGATTTTAAAAAGCAGCATGTACTGTATTTCCGAATTGCATTTTTATGTTAAGATATGAGAAAGTTCACAAACAAAATAATGGCACATAGTGAAACCTAAAGGCTGTGTCCTTGAAGAAAATCATTTTTTCTCATTGGAAAAATGTATATTGTGTATATTGTACGAAACTTAACTTAATTTGCTAATGCTCTAATGTACTTTTCTAAAAAGACTTTTCTATTTCCAAGTCTTTTCCTCTTTGAATGGGGGCTATGTAAGATATAAAATATGAAAGAAAAATACTAGTTATATCTTGTCAATAGTCCCTTTTTATAACTCATTTTAATTTAGTTACTTCTCCTTCCTTCGCTCTGTCTACTAATTATTTATGAGTCTAAAGTGCATCATCCAAAAATTAATTTGTATTATGCCATTACGTAAGAGTAGCATTGCAGATATTTTTTTATCTAGTCATAGTTTAAAGTGTAAGCAAAAAAAAAAAAAAAAAAAAAATTAAAAATTAAAAAATAAATAAATAAATACCTGATTTTATAAATACTCCTTTTGCTGAAAAGCAATTATATCCTGCCTTCCTTTCTCTGTGTTAGGTGTGTTACTTGTTTGTCTGTTTCATCCATTGTCTCAAATTGTGACCAGTTATATAAAACTGTAGAATGCTTATCGCATCTTTAATCATCGCAGATGAATATGTGTTCAAAATTAGTTATCGAAGTATAAAATTATGTGTTATATCTATGTCACATCTCTTAAGTTCTTCTTCTCCATTATGTCATTTTATGCATCCATGTATCTCAAGAATCTACAGAATTTATGACACACACCACACACACACACTATATATATATATATATATTCACATATATTGCACTGCATATATTTTAATGAATGGATAACCTGGCCGCTTTATAACCTGCTAAGGCCGTTTGGGTGTATCTGAGCTAACAGAGTCAGTTTCCTGTGTCGACTAGCTCCACTATGCCTGTAGTTCAGAATTTTCAACTTGCAGCTCTATGGGGAAAAACTGGTTTTGGAGATGGATCGGCTATGTTAGTTGTCCCTGTTAGCTCAGATAAACCCCAGTGGAAATGGCCCTTTACATGCCGCATGTGTGTGATATGTTACATATAAGTTTATAGTATGTTTGAAATTTTACTCTGAGCTGCCTTAGCCATAGCTGTTACTCATTTAGCACCACCCAGGAGCATGTGTGATTTAAGGATATCACGTACGCAAGTGACATTCCCTAAGAAATAAGTCAAACCTTGAACTTTCTTTATAAACACAAACAATCATTTTTCAATGCATCCTTTCGCATGTAGGTATCGACGGTAATGAAGAGGCAGACTCACTAGCCAAAGAGAGGAACAGTTGATCCACAAGACAGCAAACCACTCCCTCCAGACTCACTTAAGAAGGATATTTTTTATAAATTAATGGATACTCTTAGATCTGACCAGGCAGCAAAATCAACAGGCAAATCCTATGCTGACATTCAAGACACATGGAAAAAGTTTTATCAAAACCCTCATAAAGAGGCTGTCGCAAACAGGCCACAATTGCATGGCACATCATTTTAATAAAATTGGCATTCTTCCGTCTAGTATATGCCAAATTTGCAGTTTAGGCATCATGAATGCAGAGCATTTTCTAATATGCCCAGAACTAGACAAAGAGTCTCAGAAACGTGGTGAGATAAGTAAACTATACTGGAATGCCAGAGCTTTCATCAACTCATTGTAAAGATTAAATCTCTTATGTTCCTTTCCTTGTTGTTTAAATTTTTAACATTTTACTTTTGTTCCTATGTTCATTTATTTTGATTCTTACTTTAAATGTTTGTTCTTTTTTGTTATATATCATTGCTGTTGTGTGATACTTGAGCTGTTTTATATGTTGGGATTGATCTTTCGAATAAAGCCATATGTAACAACAATATGTTTGAAATTTTACTTTTAAAGTTTAATTTTCCTTGAACATGGTTTTATTGAAAATTTAATTCAGTAATGTTCAGTTGTATTTCCTACAATGTTTTTGTGTATTCTTACTTTTTATTTTTCACATTTAAATTTTTCTTTCTCTCTCTGGTTAAAATTATGACTCTTTCTTACAGTTAAATTTTCTTTCCTGTTTTTTTTTGGATGTCCAATCATTTACCAAATATTTCTCAAAGCATACATAAACTACTTTAATAAGGCATAGGGTAAAAAGGTTAATCTTTGGATTATGGTAACTTGGCGATATTTTGTCGAAAATTTGGCAATCAACCCTGCTACAGCAACCTGCTAGTTTTGTTTTTGGACGCCATTTTGTTTTCACAAAGTAAAGGCATGGTTTTTTTTTTTTTTACTCAACATTTTTGAAGAAAATGCTTACGAAGATTAGGTGCGAAATTGGGAGAAAGTGCAGAATCGCAAACTGCTTGTCGTGTTTCTAAGAATTGCACATACACGGTATCATCCATGTACACGTCGACCTATTTTCACTTAAAAAAACATCCCAGAATTGCACAAAAATGGCATTGCGCAAACTCTTGACTTTATCCATGTACACTACTAAATTCCTAGCTAGTAACTTTTATCGCTTTACCAAAATGTCACCAAACTACCTGTTACCATATTCCAAAGATTAGCCAAAAAAATTCAAATTTATGTTTGTTTTCTTTCTGAAATCTAATCTGCAAGAAATTTCTGTTATTTGGTAATTCAAACATATTTATAGCTGAATATTGAATTGTCTGACTGACATTTATTTCAAACAGCTTTTATATCCTGATTTAACCATTAAATAATTCAATTTTAAACTAAAAATAAAGAGATTAGGGAAAAGTTTCAGACGTCAAAAGTTAAGAATAAAAAATGTGAGCTTTTTATTTATTAAGCTGTTTTATTTATTAGTGTTTTTTAACACATGTAGAAAAATACACACATTTGCATGTAAAATAGTGATAAACATATTTATTTCTTACTGCAGCTTGACACTTGATGCAATTTCAATTCTGTTTATGTGTTTAGCTTGGAGAAAAATTGATGGAAACTATCTTCATCACAGATTGTAGTTGCTCATCTCTCAGTCCCGAACAAAGTGATTAAACTTATTTTAAAAATTCCTACTTCAGGGTATTTATCTTTCGACAAGTATGAGTAAAAATGATCAAATCTGTGTCTTCAAAATCTTTGAATAAAATTTATATAACACTGTAAAAATTAGTTCTGTTTGTAGATTTTCTGGTGCATTACAGTATTTTTGTTCGTTTTTAATGATAATGAAAATAATATAAAAACAGACTCCAAATTATTAAAACTTTTATATCTCTCTTCAAATTTATTTTACAGTTAAGCCAATTTGCTTACATATTCTTGCATGCATGTTTGCCATAGAAATGGGCCCTGGCATTAATGCTGGAGAAGACATGGATGTGTGTAAGTGTATAATGTCTGTGAGGCTAGGGGGCACTCGAAATACACAACAAGCTGAATATTTGTTCATTTGAGAGGTTGTAGGCTGGGTAATAAGAATGGTAGACCATCAAATCTCCTCTGGGATATTATCAAATCCCCTCTGGGAGTTGCACAGTTAGCGAGGTGAAATTATACCTGTACTAGTAGTAAAATTCTGGTGGAGAATATTTAAATGGCCATTTAAGTCAACAAGAAATGCTAAGTCTATTATCCATATATCATTATGTAGTTATTTATTTATTGTGTCGTAAAATTTTTTATTTCCTGTACTAAATCAAGAAACCATTTTAATATAGTGTCTCAACTTAAGCCACCTCAGCTTATTATTAATAATCATTTCTCCTTGCTATAAATTACTTCAAGTGATGCAATAAATTCTAGATGATTTTGAAATTTTTCAGGGATAAAAGTTTACTGTTTCCATATTATTCATCTGCAAATTGCTGGTATTAAGTACTTCTTATATGGTGCAAAAATGATTCTGAAATTTTTCTTCTTTTATTATATTTCTCAATTTTTAATGCAACTCCATATTTGCCCCCTAAGCATAGCAGCTAAGCATACAAATCTAACCATTTTATCCAAAATTAATATATATTTAACTAGTACAGTTTAAATTTTTTCAAAAAATATTAAATGATTCTTGAGATAAATTTTGGATCTTCTGCCATGTTTTAATGATAAAATAAATAGTTCTTTTTTTTTTCCTTTTAATAATGCAATTTCCATTATGTATGTGTGTTGAATAGCATTAAAATGTAATTGGCTTCTTATCTTTTTAGAATTAAGATCAAGAGAAGAAAAAGCGCAACAGTTTTTTAATTCTACATATCTTTCAAAATCAAATGAAATGTCAGTTTTTGATTCTTTGCAAGAAGAAAGTTATAATCAGGTAGGGATTCTTATATAAGTAATTCTTAAAGTAATATCTATGACTGATGTATTTTAAGATTAATTTAGAAAATTTTACACGTCTATGTAGAATAAAAAATAAGCACAAACCGAGTTCTGTATTCGAATAAATTTAATATAAAACTCGATTGATTTGACTTAGGCTTTAGATTTTTGCTTCTTTATATCATAATCTTTTGCATCTGAAAAAGGGAGATCCGTGTCATATCAACTGGAAATCAGTAGAGTTTTACATAAAATATAAATTAATTTAAAATTAGATTTTTACATAATTTTACATTAAAAAGTGTTTCAAATAGGGTTGAAAATTCAAGAGTAATTCAAAAATAAATTAACTCAGTGATAAGAAATTGGCGACATAATTTTATTACTTCCTTGTACGAAGTAAAGGAAGTATTGTAATCGAAAAATTTTTTGGGTATCATATTTCAACAAAAATATCCATTTTAAACGCTATCGAATGCAATTTAATGATGTTTCTGCGTGATATCTGTACTTAAGGACAGAACAGAGTCTTGTCTCTTTTTCCCAACATGGGTCTTGACGTATGTATGTACGTATATATCTTGCATAACTCAAAGCAAGTAGCCTCAGAATATTGGAATTTTGTTTGTAGGACTACTATAACATGTAGTTGTGCACCTTCCTTTTTGGTTGCAATTAGCTGCACCAAAAGTATATAAATATATATATGCCCACTCTGTTACTCAGGCTGTGTAATCTAATTTTTTTAAAATTCTTATATATTGGTAAATTGTGCCTTTTTTGGTTTTAAAATGATTGAATTATGTTGTACTTCCGGTTAAGGTTTTTTATGCCTTTAGTTAATCTGCATGCAATAGTTGTACAATTATCAACAATTTAAAATTTGTTTAAGTGCGGCTAAACCTAATTTTTTTAACCTTAACAGACATATTTGTTTACATTTCAAACTTAGCAGAATAGTGAATTAAGTCAGTTTCTGCACCTTTAGTGTCTTTTTGCCGAATGAGACCACAAGTAAACTTTTTAATTTTTTTAACTGTATTTGGTGTTTTATATTTTTCTATATTGTTCAATTTTTAATAAAGATATTTTGAAGTTTTATGTATTTTTCCCTTGCCATGATGTGAGAACTGAATTAATTGAATAAGAAATATATATCTACTGAAATTTGAGGAAATAAGCTTAAATGAAATGCTACAAAAAATGTGTATAATTTAATATCCCATACAAGGAAGTCATGTGGCGTACACCACTTGTTTTTACTTGTTAAATTCGTATCACATAGCTGCCAGCTATTAGTTTTTCATCTTATCATCCAGTCTCCCAGTAGATTATTGAGTCTGCCCCCTTTTAATTTTTGGGCTTTACTAAGGAAAAGCCTCTTAACAATAAATTAAATTTATTGAAGTAATAAAGCTTAGATAAAAAATATAAATATAGAATAAATGAGTTTATTATCTTGGTTGTTATTTTTAATTCCTCTCCCAATCAGTATTAACAAAGTATGAAAAATTAGCATACTTAAAACATTTTTCTCTAGACTTTAGATCAGCTATCTTTTCATGGCATTTTTACACTTATTTTCTTTGCAATATCATTTTCTAAAATTGCCAAGAATTCAGTCTGTCTTAAGACATGGATGATTGTAAACATGTTTTTATAAGTTTTGATTTACTAAAGATTCTCTTGCCGTTGGCCGCATTAGTAGATATTGGAAGCATTATTTTTAATGCAACTCACAGATTTGGTATGGCACTTTGTAACCTATTATTTATGAACTTTGTGGCTTCTATTAGAAACTTTACATTTTCAGAAAATAATTCTTTGTTTGTATCTAGTTCAGTGAAGAGATTATATCCATTAATGTTGCTGTTTTCTTGGTACTTTAAATTACTCTCCAAACCTTGACATGCTACTTTGAGTTTATTTTTATATGACAGATCATTATAGTCATTTAAATATCTTCGTGCGTTATTGAAACTTTATAACTTTTCAAACCTATCTGATAAAAATTAATAACTGTCTGCTATTATTACATTGAGCACATGATTTTTAAATCACTTTTATGGGTCATTTGCATTGGAACCTTATCAGTGCACTCATATTCAAACAGCCTCATCCTTTTTCTTATTCTCCTAAAAATGGGTTCCATATTTAAAACTGTAGCTGTTTATTTTTCTGATTCTAGTACTTTTTCATATCCATTTGAATGATGATCAGTTAAGTAATCAGTGATACTATTCAATAATGAAACAGTAGTTGAAAGCTCTGCAAAGTGTTCTGCATAGTTTTTGCTTGCAACATTTACCCTGCTTAAGACATCATACCAGACGTTTGTGATCACTAGAAAACTTTTGTCTTCTATTTATGTTACAAGAGTCTCTGCTTTATGTTGCACTACAGGATGAGATGCAGGCATTTCCGAAAGTTCTTAAAGATCATCCTGAATTCCCATGATTTAATTTTTAATAGTTTTGATACATTCTATTCTGCAGTCCGATGTAGTCTTGCATGAAGGATTTGCAGTGTGGCAGGTGACATGTCTTTTCAGTGCATGGCATCACCTAGAAAATGCTGGAAAGAAAATAATAGATATGCTCTACAGTACTAAAAAAGAAGTGGATTTAACCTACCATTAAGTTAAGGTATGCCATTCACATGGCATAAAAATGCTGTGGATTTTCTTTCATGATCTTTGCCTGAACACCTTTATTTTTTGCTTTATCTGACCATTATTGTACCCCTGCCTTTTGGAATTCTGCAAGTCTAGGCTGCAGTCTGTTTGAAAATCAAATATACTTTCATGTAATCTACAACCAGTAGTTTTTATAACAAGTTAATAGCTGGCAAAATATTCCTTTATTGCAATATATTCTACATCTAAAAATCATATTGTAAACAAAAGCTTCTTTTTTACGTGACATATATCTGGTGTACTGTCTAAAAAAAGATGGATATTTTGCTGATCTAGCTTAATTAAGTACAGTATAATGTCCGAAATCCGGACGTCTATTATCCAGAATGATCTAAAATCCAGACCTCAAAGCCACAACATTTTTTTAAACAATCATGTAAGCATAAATTTATGAGATTAATAATTTGGCTCCATAGGCGAGTAGCTACTTGGCATACATCTCAAACCAAAACATTCACCTATTTTATATCCCTGACGCCGACCTGGCTAGTCATTATTTATTATATTTTGCTTTCATCACTGCATGTTTATCAATACATGACAGGTTCAGTAATAAATCATGCTGTGATGTCTAAACTTCTTTTATATTAGTAATTGAATAACAAGAGTATGGTAACCTTTTATGCTAACATTACGCTTGGCGATGATTATAGATTTTTAAATGCTTTAAGAAACGTTGACGAGGAAAAATTCAACAAAAATTTCTTTTCATATGCTAAAAATATATTTTGTTAATGAAACTCATAGGCCGAAAGATTACATAGTGATATTTTAATTAAGAATAAGTGATGTGTTATTCACCATAAATCCAGAAGCGGTGGCAGAATATGTCGGCACCAGATGGCAGAATTTAGGGAAGACGAAAGTTTTGGAATTTGGGAAAGCACCGAGTGGCAAAATAAAGGGATGAGAAGTTTTTATGATTTAGGGAAAGTACTGGGATCCAAAGTTTAGGCAGGGTGAAAATTCAGAACTTAGGAAAGCACTTTGTAGCAGAATTTAGGACCCGTAGACACTGCACCAGGCAGTACGAGCGATGGCCCTAGATAAAGCCTTAAGTATATGTGGGAGTTTTTTTATTCAGGACTCGGATTAGTTTGAAGCATGTGCAAGAAATAAACGTAGTTATAGTAAATAACTAAACTAATACAATTCAGGCTTAATTCAGTATGCAATAGGAGCAAGACAAAATTTAGCGAAACAACTTGGCGTTCATCGCCAATCTTGTGATACACAGCCAATATGTATAACAGATGCTATTAAGCTATGCTCAAATTATCTTTATTGGTTCAAAGGCATTTTGATTAATGTAGCAGACTGTGCTGCTCCCTGATCTTCTAATTTGATCCAGCTTGTTATTTTTGCAGACTGTTATTATTACGGCAATTTTATAAAAACTAAGCTTGAACTTTCGATTATGTCGAAAATAGTTTCCAATTCTGGAGTTGCCAAAGGATCTACAAAGTGAAGCCATGTTTCGATGTCCATTAAACAAAAATTTGGATAATGGAAAAAATGGAAAAAAATGGATAAAGGCATATCTGTCTCAAAATTATGCGAGGAGTATGCCATTAGAAAGTTCACTGTATATGACGCAAGAAAAAGGAACTTTTTGAATTTTTTGTGGAAGCATCTTAAACAACTTACATTGAAATAAATGTTTAATAAAGTAAACAAATAAATATTAAGCTTTTTTTTTGTAAATTTTGATACCCTTTAGATCATAATTGTTATTTATTTCATAAATTACCATTTCATATTTTTAATTGTAGGATTTGTGAATGCCATCTTACTAGATTTAAATTGATGATCTATTATCCAGAAAAATCCCAAATCCGGAATCAGTGAAGTCCCGACCAGTCCAGATTTCAGACTTTGTACTGTATATGATGTGCAGATATTCTAATGTCCAGATATATGGTAGAGGTATATGACCAATGTGCTTCAATGGCAGAAAACAACAGCAAAAAGACACTGATTCTAACTTGACATCAGTTTGGTGTTGCCATTATAGTATGTTTTTTAACTAGAATCTTAGTATCTGAAAGAAAAAGCAACAATAAAAATTCATGTGTCAGAAGCTGAACTCAAGTGACTCTCTGAGCACTGCTGGCTTAAGTACGAGATAGTACCTTAAGCCAGCAGTGGCGTAACAGCACATAAATAGTAGTTTTATATACTACTTAGCTTACAATATTTTAACAAAATCTTATCGAAGTGCCCTTTAGACTGGAAACAAATTATGTTATGTAACTTTCAGAAAACTTTTGAAGTTACTAATTTTTTATAATTTTCCTAATTTTCAGTGTAATTAATGGCTCATTATATATCCTGTGCTGTCCAATGAAGTGGCATGAGTCTTTCACGTATAATTATGTCCTTACAGTAAATTTTGGGTTTGATGTGACTTAATTATTGTAGAAGTTGGCATTTACATTCACATATCCTCAAATTGCTTATGGTAACCAAAACTTTATGTAAGCATAATTAGTTCACTTTTTTAAGCTATTGATAATTTGTATGAGGGTTGTCCCAAAAGTAAGCTTTATTATTTTTAGCGCAAAATTTATTCAAACATAATAATATGTTATATGCATTCCAAAGTGCATATCTTAATTTTCCATATATTCATCTTGTCAGTCCAATTGTATGTCTAAACATGCGACAAATTTTGTAATGTCTAATTCATAAAATGTGATTTGTAAACACTGAATCACCATATCACCAGTGTTTTGAGTGTCTCTTCAATCCCAAATTTATGAAAGCAAAGGTTTTCCTATAATAATATCTGTTTATGGCAGACATGAGTGATTGGTGAATGAAATCATATATGATTTGAGGTCTGTTGCTTGGATTAGTGCCTTGACCGATTGCTTAATTGAAGGTTAAGAGCTTTAAGATTCCTGAGACCTCTTTTTTATTAGAACAACATGGAGGGATTGCGATATGTCATACAAATCCATTAACATATGCTGTTCACTACCAAGACTGCCAGAAATGCATTTTCCCTGATAATTTTTTGTTCCTGCGGTTCCTCGCAGAACTGCAGGTGAAACCTACAAGTATGGAATGGAAGCATTCAGACCTTCTGTATATCAGGAAATTCAAGGCTGTGTTGTTTGCAAATAAAGACCGATTAATGAATTATTTTTTTTTATGAATATTTTATATATTGCAAATACATCTTTTAAAATTCTTTTTAGATCTAAACTTATAATTTCTTTGAATATGAACTGTTGTTCATGATGATTTATCTTTATTACTTAGAGTTTTCTGAATGGCAGTGATCAACAGATGATGCTTGAAAGCAATACATTTATGGTAGAACAAAGAGAAAGGGAAATAAAGCAGATAGTGAAGTCCATAGCTGAACTTAATGATATATTTAAAGATCTTGCTTGTATGGTTGCTGATCAGGTAATACACTTTTTAATATTTTTTTTATAATGTTGTATGTTAATATATTCAGTTTCAAAATGAAATCTTTAGATGAAATAATGACTGTAATTCTCTTAAATATGTTCTCAATGTAGTATTTTTGCTCAATTAAATAATATTGATAATTCTGTTTTAAATCATTGGAATTAAAAATTTTTCTGAGCTATAAAAATTATATGGGTGTTACTTAAAGTTTTCTTGAAATTCTGTACTTCCTTTTACATTTTTTCCATGTCAGTGGCAGTACTTCTTACCAGGATGGTCTTTCAACCTTGAATATTTAATATAAGTGAAAAAAATTTGCAAATGACTCTGATAACTTTCTTTTATTCTATATTTCAACTAAAAATGCAGAATAATGAAAATTAGCTGTTGTAGATTTTTTCTTTTTGAAAAGGATATACTTTTTTTTAATCACCATGTAATAGGTAATATGAAAAATTGAACTCAAAAGAAAGAACTTTGATATCCAGAAAATTTGGTGATAATGCAGAGAATTCTAAAATTGTTCATATCAAAAGATGTGTAACTATCTTAATCATGTTTAGTTGAAACAAAAATTATGCATTTCATGTGACTATTAAGCTGATTACAACAGATTCTGAATCTGTAGCTCAGATGAGGTACGTAATTAAACAACCATATACGTTTTATCACTAGCATTTATCAAATTTTAAAAGAAGTTTGAATTTGATAGTAGTAACTGCAGTTTGTATATGATACAGAAATTCAGCAGGATTTGGGAGCTGACTTAAGTAAACCTTTGTATGAGAGCATAAATAAAACAGCTGTTTCCGTGTGCTTTATTTACAATTCGTTATGCATAATGTTCAGTAGATTGCAGTTTCAATTTGTTTTGAAATATGTCACATGAAATTGGTTAGAAAGTACTGAATGAGAAAGATTTTTCCCAAATTTAACATATATATTTATTAAAAAACTTAATTTGAAGAATAGTTTTAGACAGAATACTGAAGGATCAAAAGGTTTTCCTTTCAAACTTAATCTAAATTCTTATTGAAAATATTTATCAAAAGTGACAATAGTTTACATTTATCGTAAAATGTACAAGTGTCTGCTAAGATGTCATTAATATATTTTAAGTTTAAATATTCATAACTTAGTCTAAAATTACCAATACCCAATCATTACTTTAGGTTATGACATACAATTTAAAATGAATCATCTCTATGATGTACAATTTAAATCTGCTGAGCTGAGAGTCATCGCAAGAAGCTGCTCATTGGCAAATAGGGCTACGACTTGAATTTTATTTCTAAGAGTGCTCTTGGTCAGACCTGGGATAGACCATAAGCAGACAGTTCATATATGTTTTTACTAAACTGTTGTGTAGAGTAAAATATGTGTGATAATTAAGTACTAAAATTTAAGTACAATATGCAATCTTTCTCCCTTATTAACATTTTGACAATTAAATAGAAATACAACCACCACTAATTTACCCAAGGTTTGTTTAACACACAATTCTTTTGTTGCACTGTCGTGGATAGAAACCATAAACTTATAATATTAGGTACAAAACCATTAATTTTTTAATACATTTTCCTAAGTACACAATAACATATATTAAGGGAAAATAAACATACAAATACAACTTTATCCTAATCTTGGGACTAAATTCCTGAGTAAATATTCACATTTTAAGTAATAGATCCTAAGTACCATATTACATATTAAATTACCAAAAATCAAATAATCATCACTGCATGCTAGGTGGTGGTGAATAGTACTTACGTGAGCAGACTACAGGAATCTGGAAGCTAAAACAAACTTGTACAATGCTGTACAACTATCTGAGAGCCAGACTGCAAATGAGTTTATGAAACCTGTCCTTAACATAGTCACTTACAGTACTTAACACAGTTTGATATTTTTTGTAAAGGGGAGCTGTTAACTTCATGATGGTAAGTATCAGTTTTAAATAATCTCCTTAAAATACTTTGGAAAACAAGATCACAACACCATGATAACTGCACATCAACAGTTGCTGAAGGCGATTTTTCTATATAATTAAATCAGGAATCTGAATGCTTATGAATATTTTTATTTCCTTCACTTGTTAAAGAACAGTTCCCAGGACAGAATTACATTGATCATCAATTTGGAGTTATCAATTTTGTATATGTTTGCAATACAGTCAAAAGTCGTTAATCCGGACTCGTCGGGACTTCGGCGATTCCGGATTATCGATTTTTCCGGATTATAGATCATCAGTTTAAATCGCGTAAGATGGCATGCAGAAATTCTAAAATTAAGAATATGAAACCGTAATTTATGAAATAAAGAACAATTATGATCTAAAGGGTATCAAAATTTACAAAAAAAAAAGCTTAATATTTATTTGTTTACTTTATTAAACATTTCTTTCAATGTAAGTTGTTTAAGTTGCTTCGTTTTATGTGATAATACTTTCTCTTTAATTCTATAAACAGACATAATTTCTTGTTCAGTTACAAAGTTCCGCTGTTCAAGTCCCGTTAATTGCTGTGCCGAGAATACCGACTAACTTGCCAATCGAAATTTTTTCGTTTTCACTCACCTCTCTGTCACATTCTTCATGTCTTTATCCATTTTTTGCAGCAATTCCACTTTTTGTTTGATGGACATCAAAACATACTTTCGTTTTGTACGATCCTTTGGGAGCTCCAGATTCGGAAATTCTATTTGACATAATTGAAAGTTCAAGTTTACTTTTATAGTATTGCTCTTACAGTCTGCAAAAAATAATAAGCCGGATCCAATTCGAAAATTAAGGAACAACGCAATCATCAACATTAACTGAAATAGATAATTTTAGCTTATACCGTTCGTTATACATAAAACGCGCATGCGAAAACGTATTCTGCGCTTGCGCACACGCAAATGCGCAGTCGTAAGAGGTCTTACGCGCACGCGTAAACGCCTATGCACATGTGTCAACGCGGCGCAGGCGCAGAAAGATTTTAGCTTTGAGGTCCGGATTATAGATCATTCCGGATTATGGGTGTCCGAATTAACGACTTTTGACTGTACACACGTCGTGAGAAGAATGTTGAATTTTTGTCACAAGGGATTTGCATGTTTGAGTCTATCTCTTTTGCCCTACTCTATATAATTCAATTACATGACCCCGATTTGTCTCTCAAAATTTTACCATCCGTCTCTCACATCTTTATTATCATCACAGCACAACTCTGATTTCGGTCTTTGATTCCCAAATACCTTTCTATCAGTTATTGCCTGCAATTTTTCTTTCTTTTTTTCTTCCTCATAGTGCTAAACTCTGAGGGGAACACCTGTTAGAATTTGTCCTTCTTGCTTCTCAGTTACACTGCTCCTTACCAGCTTTTTCTCCTCACCAAAAAAGGTGATGGCTCAAAAAAGTCCCCCTTTGACAAAACCTTTACTATTTTTCTTCTTCATTTTCGCTAACTCCTCATCCAACAGAAAGGAAGTCCAGAACTAATCCAAAGAGTACAAAAAGCCATTTTGCCAGCCAAAACTTTTCTATTTTTAATCCAGGCCTAATTATTAATTAAGCAGCACCTTCTGATGCAACCAGCCTTATTTGGACATAATTTGTCTATAAGATTGTACTACTTTTCCGAACCAGTTATAACAATGTAGCAATTAAAATTGGGCACTACACATACTTTCTACAGCACCCCAAGAAGACGAGTAGAGTGCTTTCCTCTTTCAATTTGATGAGGGAAATAATTCCAAAATTCATCAACCATCAAGAAAATGTACCTTACAAAAACAATATGTTAGTCTACTCTTGTGTTTGCATCATTGTTCAAGGAACACGTAAACAATAAATAGCGGCAATATTCCAAGTCAATTTTTTTAAATAAAGCCATTGTGTTTGTTTACCTCATACAATGAAACGCTTCTTACAATTTTACACGTAACAAGCTATTTCACAACACAGTTCCGCTGTCAGCCTCATGGCTGGCTTCTCATTAAGGGAAGAGAAAGCATTCACTCTTTATCTGCAACAGACGCTGAAAGCAAAAAAGATCCTTTATTCACATTCTTTGACTTTTACTGGTGTCTACTACACCTCCCCTTTTTCCTGTCAAGTTAAGCAACAATTGGAAATAACCTTGAAACCAGAAACTGTGACAAAATTAAGTATTCCAGTTTTTAGAATGATGCCATTTTTAATCTTTTCATTACTTACATAAAATCTCAAAGAAAATATGTCAAATTATTTTGACAGTGTTAGATATGTTATTTTGTGTTATATTGTGTGTGATATGATATTTATTGTGTTTGTAACCCTGTATTAGTTTTTAAGCAGTATTATTTTTAATCATTTGTGTATAATATAGGTGGTATTGCCTGTGTTTCAGATTATCAAATCTTAGTTATGTTTTTCTGAAATTCATATATAAATTTTTAATATTTTAATAAGGGAAAAAATATGCTATTTTTGATTCACAGCAGTAAAAACTATGTTTTCTGCTGTATTTTCTTTCCTTCTTTTTTAATATTCATAATACTTTATTCAGATAATCCTGTATGTTTTAACCTAATTGATTTTTTATGAATTATAATTTCTTAGTTAAATTAATAATTGGTTTATAAGAATATTTTTTAGTAATAATTATATGTATTTTACAGGGCACTGTTTTGGATAGAATTGATTATAATTTAGAGCAGGTTCAGACACAAGTTGGTGAGGGTTTGAAGCAATTGCAGAAAGCCCAAACCTATCATAAAAAGAATCGGAAGATTATTTGTATAATAGTTTTAGCCGTGTGTTGTGTGGCATTAATAATCCTTCTTGTAATATTAAAACTATAAGAAATATATGCGATTTGTACATTGTGTTAACGTTTCTTGCGTAAATATGGTCGTAGACTTATTTATGTATACTATGAACTAATTTGCATATGGCAGTTATGCATGTATATATGCCTAAATTCTTGAAAGTTTTGTAGCCAGAATCTCTTGTAAAAGACGGTCATAGTGTATATAATTTAAAGAACAAATTATTAAAAATATTTATTCGTGTAGGAAAACATATAAAACATGCTTCTTTAGTTTTCCATTTTGATGTAAATAATTATTTTGTACAGATGTTAAAAAAAAATTGCAAAATGTTTCCTTTCTAGTGAACATTAAAAAGCTGTATTTTTCTGTTATGCTTATAGACTTCTGTGATAATAACTTGTTCCAACATATTTTCAGTGCTTTCTTCTTTTATATGTGAATTCATCTAGAAGTATCAGAAATGCAGTTTTTAAGTGATTGCTTAAGAATAAAAAATATGTGTGAAAGTTTCTTTGAGTAACAGTTGATAGATCACAAAAATATTATAGTAAGGTTTATTAAATTAAAAATTGAGTATTTTACAAGTTTAAATGTTTATATTTTATTCAGAAATATACAAGTATTTGAAATTCTGAAGTAGTAACTTCTTTACTTTGAGATAAAAAAACTATTACAAAGTGCTATTATATTTTAAGCAATTAATATATCATTGCTGTTGCTTCAATAGGCTGTGCATCAGAAATTATCCATTTATAGATTAAGGTGCCAAAAAATATATATAATTGCTGACAAAGTGTCTAATAAAAGGAAATAAAAGTATGCATAAATGTATAAGGGACATTCAATAAATGTTATGCCTTGTACACTTGTGTTAGGCAAAAAAACAAAATTACACATTTCCAAAATGGCTTATTCGTTTCCTATGAAGTTTCTCTTTCGAGTTTACTTAGCCCTTAATCAGATAGATGTTGAATTCCTGCGAAAAAAAAAAAAGGGTTTTATTAAAGCTCTGAATTCATTCATGAAATAGAATGTCATAATCATTGCTATAAAGTGTATGATGCAAATGTTAGTTTTCCTTTTGTGGTCTATAAAGTAGATTTTGATGAACATAAAAGATGGGAGTTAAAGCGTAAGTTCACATTGTTGAATAAGCAGTCTGAGAAAGTTTGGCCTCTTTGTATACATACATTAGCATGCAACATTTTTCTGCTAATTTTTGAGGATGGTTTATAATTATGAATTGGGTCAGAATTGGGTCAAAACTTTGGTGTCATAAACACCTGTTATCATGGCATTATGTAAAAAACAATTGGTGAATAACAGTTCTTCCATTTTTGCAAAAATAATGGCCAAAAGTCTCCCCAACAGAAGAAGGAGCATGCCTATTATACACAAGGTGAAAACAACAACATTAATTATAAAAAGCTCTACTGTTGCCTATAAATATAGGACAACATTATTATTAATATATTACATTATTATTAATAATAATAATTATTATTAATAATATTAAATACACAGAATTAGGCACGTAAAAGAAATTTTTGAATTATATCAATACATTTCTATATAGGAAGAACAAAATTAGATAGAATTAAAAATTAAATGCTATTAGCTAAAATCCAGCACCTCTATATTATGCACAAATGAATTGTTAATTTAAAATATACATATGCATTTAAATATACATGTTTTTGTAATTACATACAATGAACATATAAAATAATTTTATGTACTATCAATAAATTTACATAATAAGAGAATCTCTATTATTAGTAAAATAATAACATTTTGATCGATGCTTAAAGCCTAAGTGAGCCTAAGTGGTTCAAGTTAAATCAAATGATGTTTCATTTGAGGCTTAAAACAAACGTTCACTGTTCTGGACAAACCTGCACAGGGGGGGGGGGAGGGTGAAAACCAAAATCTGAAAGAGTAATTAAATTTCTTTGATTTAGAAGTAATTCTGATAATTTAAAGTTCATTCTAAAATATTCATTTTTAAGTCATTCATTGAGTCTAACATCATCATTTTAGAATCTAACATCATTGGATATCATTATAGATTGCAGTCATACATTCATAAATATTTGCTAGTTTATGCCTTCTTTCATCAAGAACTCTGTCAGCAAGTGCAGACATAGCTAACTAGCTTTCAGTCTGACAAAAATAACCTGATAATTACTAGATATCCTTGGATTTGTTTTTATAATTCAGAATTATGATGTAGTTATTTCACTGCATTTTTTCATCTCGCAAATTTAAATTATAGGGTACCATTATAGGTAATTGTAGGAAAATCTATGTATGTATATAACTGTGTACATTTATTTTTGAATACATGTGTATACTTATATTTCTGAATCTGGTTCCGATAACAGAAGAGTACCGCTTATAGTTACCTTTAGGAATACCTTAATTCTTGTAAGTCTGCTCTTTTCCCTTCTGTAAGGCACTTTGTTTGATATACATCCTTTTGCAGTAGCAGTAATGATATGTTGTTTGTCTTATATGCAAGTTATGGGAATCTATGTGTTTAAATACAAATTGTAGGAAAAGGAGAGGCAGATCTATAATTCCATCTTATGTATAAAATAAATTGAATATATGATCTGTTAATTGACTGTATGCATTTCGTTTGCCTAATATTTTTATTTAGAGAGGTTTTAACTCATTTTTATTATCTATGTATAAAACCAGTTATCTTAAGTTGGATGATAAGTATTTAACTTTTCTTTACCAGCTTTGCCTTTTTATTTATGCAGGTTTATGATGGCTATTATGGTTTTATCAACCTTACAACAAATAACTTTTATACTTATTCTATAAAAGCAAGCATATGTAATTGGAAACTTATTTATATATTGCATTCACACTTTTGTAACATATATAATTTATATTACACTATTTTTTCCTTGAAAGAAAAAAAATAAAAATTTTTTAGCACATATAGTTGTTTACATGTTACAAGAACTCCATGTATCAGGTATTGATATTAAAATTGTTATTAACAGAATAATGTTATAACAATACAATATTCCATTAATTTTATTTTTTAAAAATCCAATTTAAACAAGAAGTCTGTATATCCAGTTTTCATTAATACCTCGCGTCACATGTTCTGAGAATGTCCCCCCCCAGTTAAAATGGATTTGAGTCCGGAAGGACTATTACTTTTGTTTTGGCATTTTGCATCGGACTCCTATAAATGTCGGTTCACTTTTCAAACTGTTGCCAGAAAATGTTAGAGTCCTGCATTATATTTGAAGAAATTAAATAATGAAAAATCTGCATAAATGTATGTATATTTCTCGCATTGTGATAAAACGGCGGTATCTAGAGCCATCCAATTTTGAATGATGTAATCCTACTGCGAATATGGGCATCTAAAATCCCAAATTTGAAATTTGGAATTTGTTTTATTATCGATTTCATATTTTGTAAAACTTTAATGAATTTTTGAGTAACAAACTCAACGATTTAAAAGCGAGCAATGGCAACACTCTACCGAGGGGGGGGGAACTTTTTTATCTCCAGCGCGTCAAACTGTGTATCAGAAATTCTGAAGATATGTTAATTTTAAAATTATTTTACAACATTGCTATTGAACTAAATTTTATGGTTTTAAGCAAAGAACATGATATTTAATAAATAAACATTTCAGTTTTTTTTTTAACTGCTGTCTTTGGGATGTTTTCAAATCAAGTTTATGATTGCAGTCTTTAATTAAGTATTGCTTATTTAGATCACAGTAGCAGCATGGAACCAGAACAATAGTTATAGCAGCAGATACAGATGACTTGGGGGAAGGTATGCCAGTGGCATTCAAAGGAAGATTAAAAAAAAAAAGGGGGACCATAAAATATGATGGGGAGTTTTCAGTGCTTCAAGTCTATTTTTCTGTTGGTTATCTAAAACCATATTCAGCAGTATTATTTATCCTGTGAAGAAAAATTTTCTTTTTGTTGTATTGTTAATACAGTCAAAAGTCGTTAATTCGGACACCCATAATCCGGAATGATCTATAATCCGGACGTGAAACCTACAAACTTTCTGCGCATGCATCGTGTTGACGCATGCTCGTAAGACCTTTACGGCTGCGCATATGTGTGTGCGCTTGCGCATAATATGTTTATGCATGCGTGTTTAATGCATAACGGATGGTATAAGCTAAAATTATCTAATTATCTATTTCAGTTAATGTTGCAGATTGCGTTGTTCCTTAATCTTCGAATTGGATTCGGCTTATTATTTTTTGCAGACTGTTAGAGCAATTTTATAAAAGTAGGCTTGAACTTTTGATTATGTCAAATAGAATTTCCGATGCTGGAGCTTCCAATGTTTCGATGTCCATCAAACAAATAGTGGAATTGCTGCAAAAAATGGATAAAGGCATATCCTTTGTTTCTCTAACCATTCCGAAATCTGTTTATCAATTTCACGCTGCACTGCGGCGGGAGGAGAACGCCGAGGCGCGCAATGAATTTGAAGTTGATCTGTCAGCATTATCCTTATCTTCAGGGCAGATGTTTTTATTTTATTTGGCTTATAATTCCTTACTAAATGTAGTATTTCATCTCGATGTACTCCGTCTTTGATATGATTTAAATCAAATTCCTCGTCATTATAATTTGCTCCCGATAGTGAAGGAAGTGACACAGAGGTTATTGAAAACGAAAAAATTTCGATTGACAAATTAGTCGGGACGCAGCAATTATAGGACTTGAACAGCAGAACTTTGTAACAGAACAAGAAATTATGTCTGTTTATAGAATTAAAGAGAAAGTATTATCACATAAAACAAAGCAACTTAAACAACTTACATTGAAAGAAATGTTTAATAAAGTAAACAAATAAATATTAAGCTTTTTTTTTGTAAATTTTGATACCCTTTAGATCATAATTGTTCTTTATTTCATAAATTATGGTTTCATATTTTTAATTTTATAATTTCTGCATGCCATCTTACCAGATTTAAACTGATGATCTATAATCCGGAATCGCCGAAGTCCCGACGAGTCCGGATTAACGACTTTTGACTGTAGTTACAAACTCAGTCCTACCTTTTTTTCGTAAATCCTGAAGGTATGAATGAATATTTATAATCATTATTTTTCCTAAATAGCTAATGGATTTATATTCTTATCAGTTACATATATTGAAAATAGAATGAGTTAGCTGAAAATTTGTTCTGAACTTCGTTTTTTGCTTTTTGAGAAACCTTTCTGTTATGTAATGGTAAAAAAGATATGTTTAATTAAAAACTAACTTCATAAAAGGAAAAGACTATACAGCTATAGGCTAAAAATGTTTGTTGTTTAAACACTATAGCTGTGGTAGCTGAATGCTCTTTATTTAGGCATTTTTGTTCATTATTTGTATGAAAAGCCGCTGTAGTTCTCGACTACAAAGTTTTGAGCCCCCCCCCCCAAATATCTGAGTACTCTTATTTCGTTTACCAGAAAGTTGCTTAAGTGAAACAGGACTCTAGTTTTACAGAAGTCTAGTTGTCAGTAAGATGTTTGAAAGGTATCATAGTTCTATTCACAGAAGTGGTGATGAGTGTTCACTCTACAAAATCAAGTACAAGCAAGCAATTCCAGATAGAATTGATACTGAGCATAAATATTTTTTCCCACAGTACATTAATGTAGCTTTTTAAAGAAAATTAATTATATTATTTGCACGAATTGAGACATAAAAAACTAGTTTTTGGCTTGTACAAGCTAATTTCTTGACCCTTGTGGTTCACTGCAGAAAAAGTTTTAAGAAATAGATTATATGACTGACTGACTACAAAAATAATTATGAATGGGCAAATGTAATTCTTTGTGAAAATAATAAACTCGGAACTTCATGATTTTCTTTCACTAAATTAGAAGAGCATGAGTTTGATAGAAGATAGAATTTTTTTTTTTTTTTTTCTCCTGTCTTCATTCCTTGGTTTATCATAATCAGTTTCCCAGTTTTTGGAGAATCATTGAACAGTGTTAAGTGGGTAAGCAATCTCTTCATCAAAAATGGTAAACCTCAGATGCTAAATGTAAACGAGAAAAAACTTTCCTTTTGTATTATAATTATTTTCATAGTTTACTTTCATTCCATTCTGATTTTACTCATCTTCCTCTGCATTAGTTCATGGGGAAATCATTAAATCAAACTCATTGCTGGAATCTTCTGAATGAGTAGTTCTTAAACTTTTATGTGTTGCTGCCTGTATGTAAGTGACATATCTTTTGTAGGAGTATAATTATAATAATAGTTTTTTTATAGGAGTATAATGGGAATCAAATTAAACATGCACACATCTGTAAATTATATTTTTGATTTATAAATGAAGTACATTTATAAGAAATCTGAAAAATATGTGGTTATAAGCATTTAATTCTATAATCTCAGCTAAGCAAGGGAAGAGCTGACTTATGGGTCTGGACGTAAAACTGTACTTGCACGTTATGTCATTAATCTCTTAGGAGATTATTTAGTACAAACTCTAGGATGATTAATCATTCTGTCCTGGGTTTTGAAAAGTATTAGTGCAATGATTGTATTAAATACATAAAAAAGTTCACATTAGGTGTATGTTGAATATATCTAAGTTTTATATGTACATCCATATGAGCACAGTTAATCATGTAGTAGACTTCAGTTTCAGCCAGTTTGTTCATTTTTTCACAAGCAACAAATTTCCTCGAATTCGTTTCATCTCTCGCTAATTATCCTGTCTGTAGATGCTTTAGTTTGATTGTTGTGCAGGAAATATGTTGTATCTTTACAAGGATTCTAATTTAGTGCATTCTAAGATGCAGTATATTTGGATTTACCAGCGAGTGCCATGTTGTGTATGCTGCCATTTAAGTTATGATTGTCATCTAGCTGCTGAATTATGAGTTAGAATCTATTATGAGGGAAAATTTAGGGAGATTCTTTACATATTTCTATGCATCGTTTTGCTGTATTTATCATAGTTATTGTACTAGAAATTTTCAATACACCAGAAACAATGAATCTCCTTAAATTTCCATTTTAACGATCTTGTTACTGTTCTAGCAACGTTTGAGCTCTGATGGCTAACTTCCAAAGATTTTACCTTTGTTCAGCAAGGTGTACGCATACTGAGGTTGAGAGTTACACACCAGACGGTTGCAAATATAATTTATCATTTGTTTTATAAGTCATCTGGATATGAGAGAGCATATGAAGGCTATCTGCCTTTTTTTATTATTATTTTTACTAAGAATGAAATTAAAAGATGATTTAATGCAACAAAAAATAGCTAGCAAAATATGATTTATCTCTTATTTCCAAAATATTCTTTTAACTCGTGAGTAATCAAATTGGAACTTTGTTAATTTGTTTGGAGAAAAGAACCTAGAATCTCAAAAAAATTATGGAAAAAAAAATATGTGGATTAAAAAAGGATGTGTGTGTAGTTTATGGTAAAAATGAAATAGAGGTGTCAAGAATATAAACAACTATTTCTAATAAGAAGAAATTTTATCATTTTATCCATGAAAAAGTTTGAAAATTGCTATTTTTAGGCCAAAGCTGCGCTGACCCAGAAGGGTTGTTAGTTTCGAAACGGCATTTTGTGTCGAATTGCTAAAAGCGTTGAGTCACTTCAAATTATTGACATCAAATATCGTGCTGTATTACATTTAAAGAAATTAAATAATGAAGAATCAGCACGAATGTATGTATGTTTCTCGCATTGTGAAAAAACAACGGTACCTAGAACCATCAAAGTTTGAATAACGTAGTAACCCAAATATGGGCACCTGGAAACCCGAATTTTGAATTTTTTTGTTATCTATTTCATATTTTGTGAAACTTTTAACGAATTTTTGATTAGAAAAACGAGCACTCGGAACACTATACGGAATAAAAGATTTTTATCTCCAGCGCGTGAGACTTTTAGAAATTCTAAAAGTACGCTGTTTTTTATACT